CTGTACAATACATACAGATAAATATGTAGAAATACGTATACAGATATGCTGGTTTTCAATGGGTGGACTCCCATCCAAGTCACAACCAGGACCGACCCTGCTTAGATTCCAACATCAGACAGGCTCTGGTACCTTAGGCTACCTAAAATCCCTGCACAATATAATTGCAGGTACGCGCATGCGCACTTAAAGCAAACGCCCTCTGCCAAACTCTCCAGGATACATGTGCGCAGGAGCTGCGTTTCAACGCATGCGCAGAGAGAGCGACTTTGCCTGGCTTGGAGCTAAAGGTCCTGAGCCTGACCCACATTTCCATATATGGCGTGACACGTGATATGTTATTTCCATCTTTTGTTACCGCCTCTTTCCAACGGGCTCCTCCTCCTCTTACGTCACAGGCATTACATCTCTCAGACTTCATCTCCCAGAATTCTCAGCTGTTGACGTGGCTGGTTGAGGCTGCTGGGAGTTGAAGTCCAAAGCTGCTGGAGGAGCCGAGTTTAGGAAACTACTGTTCTAGAGTGCCCGCACATATGCGGAAGTGGCCTCTAAAAGTGGGCGGGGAAGAGGAGAGTGAGTGGTTTTGGCGGGAGATAGAAGGTAAGTATAAATCTAGCGGTGGCTGCGGCCTTGTCTGGGTATTGATACTCCTTTAGGTGCCTTGGCTCCTGGGAGTTGTAGGTTTAGAGTTGTAGGTTGTTAGTATTCTCTGCTACCAAATTATAAACCCCAAGCTTCTATAGCATGGAGCCATGGTAGTTAAAGCGATGTCAAACTGCATTAACTGTACAGTGTAGGTGCATTCACCTTTGTGTGGCATTGTTTTAACTGGGATGTTTAAAAACCTATTTTCTCATCTTTTTTTAACATCCATTTTGAAAAAATTCAGGTGTGAATGATCTTGATACTGTAGTTTAGTATTATATTGCAGTCATGCCGGCCACATGACTTTGGAGGTGTCTACGGACAACGCCGGCTCTTAGGCTTAGAAATGGAGATGAGCACCACACCTCAGAGTCGGACACGACTGGACTTAATGTCCGGGGAAAACCTTTACCTATTATAATATAATTTAGTATTATGGTTTGATATTTTCAGTATGGTTTTAGATTGTATTCTTATATATAAATTATACAACTTGTGATATAGTACATTATATTATTGGAAGTGGAAGAAGACAAAAGAATAGGAAGGACAAGAGACTTGGGTTGTTGTGAGTTTTCCAGGCTTTATGGTGATGTTCCAGAAGCATTCTCTCCTGACGTTTCGCCCACATCTACGGCAGGCATCCTCAGAGGTTGTGAGGTCTGTTGGAATTAGGCAAGCAAGATTTATATATCTGTGGAATAATGTCCAAGGTGGGAGAAATAACTCTTGTCTGCTTGAGACAAGTGTGAATGTTGCAATTGGCCACCTTCATTAGCATTGAATAACCTTGCAGCTTCAAAGCCTGGCTGCTTCCTGATAGGGGAATCCTTTGTTGGGAGTTGAAACTCTCTGTCTAAAAACCTCCAGAGAAGGAGCATCCACAGGACTCACGAGCAGCATATTCCACAGTTGAACAGCTCTTGCTTTCAGGAAGTTCTTCCTAATGTTTAGAGTCCTTTTTTCTGCAATTTGAATCCAATCCACTATTGTGTCTTAGTCTCAAGCAGCAGAAAACAAATTTCTTCCCTCCTCAGTGTGACATCCTTTCAAATATTGAAACATGATTATCATATCAATATTCTTGCCTTTCTAGTGAGGAATCTGTATAAGGATCAAGTAGCAACAGTAAGAACTGACCATGGAATAACAGACCAGTTCAAGATTGGGAAAGGCATATGGCAGGGTTGTATACTCTCACCCAACCTATTCAACTTGTATGCAGAACACATCATGCGATGTGCAGGGCTTGATGAATGCAAGGCTGGGGAAACATTAACAACCTTAGATATGCAGATGACACCACTCTGATGGCCGAAAGCGAGGAGGAGCTGAGGAGCCTTCTAATCAAGGTGAAAGAAGAAAGTGCAAAAGCTGGGTTGCAGCTAAACATAAAAAAACCCCAAGATTATGGCAACAAGAATGATTGACAACTGGAAAATAGAGGGAGAAAACGTGGAGGCAGTGACAGACTTTGTATTTCTAGGTGCAAAGATTACTGCAGATGCAGACTGTAGCCAGGAAATCAGGAGACGCTTAGTTCTTGGGTGGAGAGCAATGTCCAATCTCGATAAAATAGTGAAGAGTAGAGACATCACACTGGAAACAAATATCCGCATAGTTAAAGCAATGGTATTCCCCATAGTCACCTACGGATGTGAGAGATGGACCATAGGGAAGCTGAGCGAAGGAAGATAGATGCTTTTGAACTGTGGTGTTGGAGGAAAGTGCTGAGAGTGCCTTGGACAGCGAGAAGATCCAACCAGTCCATACTTCAAGAAATAAAGCCTGACTGCTCATTGGAGGGAAGAATAGTAGAGGCCAAGATGAAGTACTTTGGCCACATCATGAGAAGAAAGGAAAGCTTAGAGAAGACAATGATGCTGGGAAAAACGGAAGGAAAAAGAGGGGCCGACCAAGGGCAAGATGGATGGATGGTATCCTTGAAGTGACTGGCTTGACCTTGAAGGAGCAGGGGGTGGTGACGGCCGACAGGGAGTTCTGGCGTGGGCTGGTCCATGAAGTCACTAAGAGTCGGAAATGACTGAACGAATGAACAACAACAACAAAGCCATTCCTCATAGGGCTTGGATTCTGGGCATGTTACCATTTTGGTTGCCCTTCTCTTTATAAGTTCCAGATTGCCAATATCCTTGAACTGGCCATAGTTCTGGGCGAAAGAGTTGTACCTGTCATAAAGCTACTAAGATAAACATTAATAACATGTTTTAATCCCTCTCACACACTTCCTTTCCAGGCTGAACAGAGGCAGCAGCAATGCAGGCGTTTCTGAAAGGCCCATCTTCCATCAGCACCAAGCCCTTACCTGCCAAGGAGAAGGGAACAGCTTCTACTGCAGGAGGCAGTGGAGAGGGGAAAAGGGTTCGACCTGTTCCATGGGTGGAAAAATAGTACGTTTTGTGTTGTGACTTCGGATTTGATTTTTCTAGCCAGTTGTAAGAACTAAAGTGTCAAGGAAGAGGGTGGTTGGGTTTACTGTTTCTTAAACTGTGGGTCCTGACCCCAAATGGGAGACCCCTTACCTCAGTGTTGGGCTCCTCAAAATTTGGCAGCAGTAAAAGTTTTTTGAAGGTCACTTATCGGCTGTTTTAGACATTTACACGAATCTGTCGTGCAGTGTTTACAGTGGACTCTGCAGAAGATGCTTGAGCTGTACTTTGTAAAAAAAAGAAAAATCAGCCTGTTTAGCAAGCCTTGCAAATGGTGATTTGTTATTAGTAAATTAGCTTGGGTGTGACCCTGGACTCATCGCTGAGCCTGGAACCCCAGGTTTCGGCGGTGACCAGGGGAGCATTTGCACAGCTAAAGCTTGTGCGGCAGCTGCGCCCGTACCTTGGGAAGTCTGACTTGGCCACGGTAGTCCACGCTCTGGTTACATCCCGTTTAGACTACTGCAACGCTCTCTACGTGGGGTTGCCTTTGAAGACAGCTCGGAAGCTCCAACTAGTCCAACGCTCGGCAGCCATGATTTTAACAGGAGCGGAGCGCAGGGAGCATACAACCCCCCTGTTGCGCCAACTCCACTGGCTACCGATCTGCTACCGGGCTGAATTCAAAGTGCTGGCGTTGGCCTTTAAAGCCCTAAACGGTTCCGGCCCAAGCTACCTATCTGACCGCATCTCTGCCTATGAACCCACCAGGACTTTGAGATCTTCCGGGGAGGCCCTGCTCTCGATCCCGCCTGCTTCTCAAGCACGGCTGGCGGGGATGAGAGATAGGGCCTTCTCGGTGGTGGCTCCTCGGCTGTGGAACGCCCTTCCTACGGACATTAGACTAGCACCATCTCTAATGGTATTCCGCAAAAAAAGTGAAGACCTGGCTGTTTGAGCAGGCGTTCGAATAATTAGTGCAATGATTGGTTAATGAACACTGGAATGGAACAATGGATGACGAATCTGGAACATGTTTTTGATGACGAGACGACAGTGAATGGGTATTGTAGTAACTGTTTATTAATTGTGTAATGTGTTAGGTTGTTAACTGTTTCTATACTGTAGCACTGAATTTTTGCTGTTCGTATTTGTTGTGAACCGCTGTGAGTCGCCTTCAGGCTGAGAACAGCGGTATATAAGTAAGGTAAATAAATAAATAAATATTTAGTTTTTATACCTATTTTATATACCTATATAGCCGGGGTCATGTAAAAAATTTCTCATGCCAAAACGGGTAGTGAATGGAAAAGTTTAAGAAGCCCCTGGTCTACAGGAAGTGTTTCAAATGGTTAATATGATTATAACCACTAGATGTCTCCATTTATTTTTTTGCTGCTTGTACTGATTTGTGTGGTTTCGGTATGCAAATACAACACAGGTAGCTCCCAAGTTACAAACAAGATAAGTTCTATAGGTTTCTTAAGTTCTTAAGATGGATTTGTAAGTCGGAACAGGTACATTTTTAAGTGTAATTCCAGCCACACGCAAACACACACACAGGTCTGGATGGCATCAGGAAGAGTTAAGACTACTGTGGCATTTGTTTTGCTTTTTCTGACTCTGTCTCTGTTCAGAAGATTTCACCTCACTTTCTGTCCCTGTGATAATTGGATTTTGAAAAAAATGGAAACAAGGACTGATGACAAAGCTTCAGTGGAGATCCACTTCTTCCAGGAGTGGATTTCCCTTCCAAGGGGCAGATTTCTCTCGCTTCCTGTTGCCTCACTCCCATTCTTAACGCTTAATCATTTGAAAGTGGAGTGTTTATTTATTTACTATATTTGTATACCTCTCTTCTTAGCCCTCGGGCGACTCAGAGCAGTTAACAATAGCAAAATTCAATGCTCAGAAACATCATAAAACCATTAAAAGCAATTAAAACAGCATTATAAACAGTCAATATAAAGCAATAAAACATCTCATTAGCATCTCATAGTTAAAATCAAGATCCAGTCTCATCATCCAATTGTTCCATATTCCTATGTTCGTTACACTGCCTGTTCAAATGCCTGCTTGAACAACCAGGTCTTCACTTTCCTCCGAAATGTCAGCAAGGCGGAGGCCGATCTAATATCTGTAGGAAGGGCATTCCACAGCCGAGGGGCCACCACTGAGAAGGCCCTGTTTGTAACTCTGGGGCTACCTGTATACCAAAACTTTAAAAAATAAAATCAGATCTGAAATCCAAAACATTTACATGATAGTGCACCTGTAAATATTTATTTACTATATTTATTTATTATATTTGTATACCGCTTTTCTCAGCAACTCAAAGCGGTTAACAGTAGCAAAATTCAATGCTCAAACATCAAAAAAAGAGTTAAAACAGTTAAAACAATAACATCATAGTAATCAAATACAGGTTGAGTGTCCTTAGCCTGAAATGCTTAGGACCAGGAGTCTTTTGGGTTTCATTTTTTTCACTAATTTTGGTATATTGTACTGGTATTTGCATATATGTACATAATGAGATATCTTGGAGATAGGACCCAAGTCTAAACATGAAATTTATTTATGTTTCATATGTAGTTTATACACATAGCTTGAAGGTAATTTTATATAAAATTTTAAATAATTCCTTGCATGGAACAAAACTTTGTGTACATTGAACCATCAGAAAGGAAAGGTGTCACTATCTCAGCCTCTCGTGTGAACAATTTCGAATGTTGGAGTATTTTGGATTCTCAGATTCCAAATAAAGGATACTCAATCTGTATCTTTAGGGCACATATGACAGTTTTGGTGAGAAAATACTAATTAGTACATGTTCACTGTTACCCCCCACCCCCCTTATTTTGTCAAATAGCCGTCCAAAATGTATGGATGAAGTTGCATTTCAAGAGGAAGTTGTTGCAATGCTGAAGAAATGCTTGCAAGGAGCTGATGTGAGTTCTTTTATAATTTGTAGCATTACAAGTTAAATTAAACTAAACTAATCTTTTGGCTATGCTTTGTTATCTTACGAATCATCTTTTTTGAAATATTTCTTAGCCTTGCTCCAGCTGACTTACAAAATGTATTAAAAAAGGATATATATATTTTGGGGAAAATGTTTTGTGCATATGAATAAGGAAAAGTGGGAAAGACTGGCTTGGGAAGGGGGTGGGAAAGAAGGATTGGGAATGGGAAAAGGTTGGAATGGGAAGTGTGGTTGAAAAAGTCAGAAAATGAGGTGGAAAGGGGGTAGCTGGAAAATTAGGACAGATTGGGGTGGGAAGGGGGCAACTGGGAAATTGGGAATGACTGAGGTGTGAAAGGAGGTTGGAAACTGGGAAAGATTGGGATGGAAAGGGGGGCTGGAAAAGCGGGAAAGACCTCAGTCTAGATAGTTTATTAATTTTTTTAAATATTTAAAAATTATTTTAAATACTCAAGTATAAGCCGAGGGGGGCTTTTTCACCCTTAAAAAGGGTTGAAAAACTTCTGCTTATACTCTAGTACCGTGTTTCTCAACCTGAGGGTCGGGACTCCTGGGGGGGGGGTCACGAGGGGCTGTCAGAGGGGTCACCAAAGACCATCAAAAAACAGTATTTTCTGTTGGTCATAGGGCTTCTGTGTGGGAAATTTGGCCAAATTTTGTTGTTGGTGGGGTGCAGGATATTCTTTGATTGTAGGTGAACTATAAGTCCCAGCAATTACAACTCCCAAATGTCAAGGTCTGTTTTTCCCAAACTCCACCAGTGTTCACATTTGGGCATATTGAGTATCCATGTCAATTTTGGTCCATATGCATCATTATTTGAGTCCTCAGTGCTCTCCGGATGTAGGTGAACTACAACTCCAAAACTCAAGGTCAATGCCCACCAAACCCTTCCAGTATTTTCTGTTGGTCTTGGGAGTTCTTTATGCCAAGTTTGGTTCAATTCCATCATTTGTGGAGTTCAGAATGCTCTTTGATTGTAGGTGAACTATAAATCCCAGCAACTACAACTCCCAAATGACAAAATCAATCCTCCCCAACCCCACCAGTATTCAAATTTGGGCATATTGGGTATTTGGTCCAGTGAATATCCTGCATATCAGATATTTACATTACAACTAGTCATCCCTTGCCACACGTTGCTGTGGCCCAGTCTGTATATATGTGCTTTGAGTGTGTGTGTATATATGTTTATATGTGTGTATATATGTGTGTATATATCTGTATTTGCGTATGTGTGTGTGTATATATATGTGTGTATGTGTGTGTGTGTGTGTGTAGATGTGCTATATATGTATATATTTGTGTATTGTCGAAGGCTTTCATAGCCTGAATCACTGGGTTGTTGTAGGATTTTTCGGGCTAGACCATGGCTATATATTTGTGTGTTTATATGTGTATATGTATATTGTGTATATGTGTATGCTTGTCTATATGCATATTTGTGTTTATGTGTATATTGGTCTGTGCCTGAGTATATATATTCACATATGTGTATGTACGTATGCATGTTTATATGTATATGAGTGTATGTGTGTGTATATAGGGTGTATTTTTGGGGTTTTTAAGTCCGTTCTGCTGGGTGGGTTTTTTAAAAAATTATTTTTAGTGGTGATGAACACTCATTGGACTGTTAGGTGTATTGTGTCAAAATTTCATGTCAATTGGTTCAGTGGTTTTTGAGTTATGTTAATCCCACAAACAAACATTACATTTTTATTTATATAGATAGATTCATAACAGTAGCAAAATTGCAGTTATGAAGTCGCAACGAAAATAATGTTATTGTTGGGTGTCACCACAACATGAGAAACTGTATTAAGGAGACACGACATTAGGAAGGTTGAGAAACATTGCTCTAGTATATATACTGTGTCTAGTTTTGAATGCACTGCGGGCTTCAGGTCTTGTTCCTCAAAAAGACACTCTCAGTCCATTTAAAAGGAAATCCTATGAGGCTGTCAAAGGTTGCCTGAAATACATCAAGTGTGTGGGCTCAAAGGAGTCATTAATGTCACTGGACATTCTGTTTGACACCTCTAATCGCTGACATAGTATCGAATTACCCATTCATTTTAAGGTGATCTAAAAAGTATTACATGGTCACATATAACAGGTAAGGATTTCAGTACCTACAACGTTGGCATCTTAGAATTTAATCTAGATCTTCATGAAGTTTGCTTTCAATGTAGAAATACATTTAATGTGCTTTCCTCGCAGGGTGCAAATTTCCATATAACGGTAATCTTAGAAGAGGCGCCAACAGGTATCATAACGTCATCTTTGGCAAGGGTCAGGAATAGCATGGCTTGGTCATATTACAGCTCTGCTAAAAATACAGCCCTAAAGTCCATGGACATGCTTACCTGGGAATGAGCTTCATAGCACAGCGGAGCGTGTTTGAAGAAGGATTGAAGTTTAGTTTAGATAAATCAGGCATGGGCAAACTTTGACCCTCAAAGTCTTTTGGACTCCAACTCCCACAATTCCTAACTTACTTACTTAGGTGATCCCTCGTAGTCCGAGGATGATGGTCTTCCAAGTTCGGTGTTCTGGCGGAGGGTCCGTAGGTGACTGTGGAACACTATTCTTGATCTACATCTTCTCCCACAGTGAGGGCATTGGTTTCCAGGTGGAAGGCAGTCCCAGTTGGGGTTGGCTTGACACGCCTTCCTCTTGGTATGTTTCTCTCTTTCGCCCTCCATTTGTGCCTCTTCAAATTCAGCAGCACTGCTGGTCACAGCTGACCTCCAGGTGGAGTGCTCAAAGGCCAGGGCTGCCCAGTTCTCAGTGTCTATGCCAGAGTTTTTAAGGTTGGCTTTGAGCCCATCTTTCAATCTCTTTTCCTGTCCTCCAACATTCACTTTTCCATTCTTGAGTTTGGAATAGAGCAACTGCTTTGGGAGATGGTGGTCAGGCATCCGGACAATGTGGCCGGTCCAGCGGAGTTGATGGCGGAGGACCATTGCTTCAATGCTGGTGGTCTTTGCTTCTTCCAGCACACTGACATTTGTCCGTCTGTCTTCCCAAGAGATTTGCAGGATTTTTTGGAAGCAATGCTGATGGAATCATTCCAGGAGTTGCATGTGACGTCTGTAGACAGTCCACATTTCGCAGGCATATAGCAGGGTTGGGGGGACAATAGCTTTATAGACAAGCACCTTGGTATCCCTACGGATGTCCCGGTCCTCAAACACTCTCTGCTTCATTCGGAAAAATGCTGCACTTGCAGAGCTCAGGTGTTGAATTTCAGTCTCAATGTTGGGAGGTGGCTGCCAAGGTAGCGGAAATGGTCAACATTTTCTAGTTTTACACAATAAAGCTGTATTTCAGGCATTGGAGAGGTGTTGGCTGGTGACTGCTAGAACAGCCGGTTAGGAATTGTGGCCCTGATTGTTTCATGTCTGGAGCCCCCTGTTTTCTGAGCATTGTTCTTTATTTACTGTCCCGATTTTAGAGCTTTTTAAAACTGTTAGCCAGATTACGTTTGTTTTCATGGTTTCAATTAGCATTTGATGGCTTGGCAGTGCCTGGGGGAATCTTTTGTTGAGAGGTGATTAGATGTGCCTGATTGTTTACTCTCTGTTGTTGTGCTGTTGTAATTTTAGACTTTTTTAATACTGGTAGCCAGATTTTGTTCATTTTCATGGTTTCCTCCTTTCTGTTGAAATTGTCCACATGCTTGTGGATTTCAATAGCTTCTCTGTGTAGCCTGACATGGTGGTTGTGAGAGTGGTCCAGCATTTCTGTGTTCTCAAATAGTACGCTGTGCCCTCAGAGGAATTCCAGATATGAAACAATCAGGGCCAGTTAACACCTCCCAATAAAGGATTCCCCCAGGCAGGAAGCAGACAGGCTTTGAAGCTGCAAGGCCATTCAATGCTTATCAAGTGGGCCAATTGCAACATTCACACCTGCCTCAAGCAGACAAGAATTCTTTCTCCCGCTCTGGACGTTCCATAGATATACAAATCCCACTTGCCTAGTTTCTAATAGACCTCACAACCTCTGGGGATGCCTGACATTGATGTAGGCAGGTATGCTATAGATCTGGGCAGGAGAGATTACTTCTGGAACATGACCATACAGCCTGGAAAACTCACAACAACCCAGTGATTCCGACCATGATATTTATTTATTTATTTATTTGCGGCATTTATATGCCGCCCTTCTCACCCTGAAGGGGACTCAGAGCGGCTTACAATATGTATTTTCATACAATATATTATATTATACTATTAGCACAGTACAATATAAGTATTATATATTACTATATTGCACTATACCATTATATTGTAATATTATTAGTAATATTACATGTAATGTAAATATATAATTATAATTATAGTATTGTATTATAATAGCCATCGACAACACATTGAAAGTATCTTGAGAAGCAGCAATGTGTGAACCTCCAGTCAAAAAGCACACAATATTTTCACCTGTTAAGCTCTAAATAAGAATTTTCCCTGTTAAATAAAGGAACAAGGTGGTATAGTATTTTGAATATTGGATTTTCACTCTGAAGATCAGAGTGTGTAATCCCTGCTTGGCCATGGAAACCCATTGGCGGACCTTGGACAAATTACACTCTCTCAGCCTCATAGGAAGGCAAAAGGAAATCCCTTTCAGAAAGTCTTTTTGAGAAAACCATGTGATAGGCCTGCTTTAAGGTTGCCATGAGTCAAAAAACTATTGTAACCACTCCACAACTATATTATGACAGACAATTTGCAATTTTCTGCTTTTCCAGCTCCCCAATCTCTTGTTTTACGGCCCACCGGGAACTGGGAAAACATCAACTATTTTGGCAGCAGCTAGAGAACTCTTTGGGTAAGTCTCATATAAAAGTGGCCTTTATGGGAGATGTGTTTGTTGCAAGTCTTGTAGTTTCCTTGTAATTTCAGAAATGTGATTGGGTCACTTAAGCACATAGTCGGTTCTGGTTTTGCCCCTAGCTTTTAAAAACAACGATAATGGTTGATAGAAAGTGAAGAATTAAGGAATCCTGAATCCATTCCCATATATATATATGTGTGTGTGTGTATATGTGTATGCATATGGGTATATGTACATGTATATGTTTTTGTGTATTTAGAGAATATGTGCAAATTGACACCCCACATTTGTTGACAGATATATCCCAGGATATGTTATATGACATACATACATTTAATAGAGCAGTGTTTCTCAACCTGGGTGGGTCACAAAGGGGTGTCAGAGGGGTCACCAAAGTCAATCAGAAAATACAGTATTTTCTATTGGTCATGGGGGTTCTGTGTGGGAAGTTTGTCCCAATTCTATCATTGGTGGGATTCAGAAAGCTCTTTGATTGTAGATGAATTATAAATCCCAGCAACTATAACTCCCAAATGTCAAGGTCTATTTTCCCCAAATTCCACCAGTGTTCACATTTGGGCATATAGAGTATTCATGCCAAGTTTGTCCAGATCCATCATTGTTTGAGTCCACAGTGCTCTCTGGATGTAGGTCAACTACAACTCCAAAATTCAAGGTCAATGCCCACCAAACACTTACAGTATTTTCTGTTGGTCATGGGAAATGTGTGTGCCAAGTTTGATTCAATTCCATCATTGGTGGAGTTCAGAATGCTCTTTAATTGTAGGTGAACTATAAATCCCAGCAACTACAACTCCCAAATGACACAATCAACCCCCCCAACCCCACCAGTATTCAGATTTGGGCATATCAGGTATTTATGCCAAATTTGGTCCAGTGAATGAAAATACATCCTGTATATCAGATATTTACATGACGATTCATAACAATAGCAAAATTACAGTTGAGAGGGAGCACTGAAAATAATTTTATGGTTGGAGGTCACCACAACATGAGGAACTGTATTAAGGGGTTGCTGCATTAGGAAGATTCAGAAACAGTGTAAAAGAGGGAGGAACTAAAAAGGGAAGGGATAGGTTTTTAAACGTCTGCTGTATAGATATTTGATTCCCTGAAAGACTGTGTGGCTCTTTAGAGGAGAGTAAGTAATCAATATAGTCAATAGTCTTCTAAGTTACTACAGTTTACTCTTTCTTGAAGCTATATTTAAACTGTATTTGCAATTGAAGAATAGCAAATGTTCTTGGGGACTGAAGTGTAAAGCAAAGTAATCCATTTGCACAGAAAACATTTACGAAAATTCAGTAAAATATGTAGAGCATATAAATAGTTGAAAGAGGATTCATGGGAAAGGAAGGTGCGGATTTTGTCCTCCTTTCTTCCTGCTTTTTTATATGCTTTTAATGTGTTTTACAATAAAAAGTTTGCTTATATTCCTGGATTCTTGTGTGGTGCGGTGGTCATAGGTATTTCCAGGCCAGGAATGCAACAGTTTCTTGTCCCTTGCCCTAAAAGCTTATTCCTTTCTCAAGCTGTGCTGGACATAGCAGCTAAATGTGATGGTTCTTCCATTAAAGGGATGGAACCTGGAGAAGAAATTTATTATTTATTATTTATTTACAGTATTTGTATACTGCTTTTCTCACCCCAAGAGGGACTCAAAGCGGTTTACATATAAGTAATGGCACCGGGATTGTGGCGCAGCTGGCTGAGTGTCARCTGCATTAAGATCACTCTGACCAAAAGGYCATGAGTTCGAAGCCAGCCCGAGTTCCAACCARTTGTGTGTAGCCTGTTGTCGACCTTTGCAACCTGAAAGACAGATGCGGGTTGAGAAGGGCGGAATATAACAGCTGTAAATAATAAATAAATAAATAAATAAATAAATAAATAATGGCAAAATTTAATGCCAGTACAAACAATTACAATTATACACTACAATTAGACATAAATCAAGTTTAAAACAGTGCACCCACAAGCRATAAAACAATCATTAAAACAATAAAACAATCTCGTCCGTCGAATCGCCGTTCCAGTCATAGTCTTTCTGAAATGCTGCATACATTTACTTCTACTGCCCAAAGGCCTGGTCCCAAAACCATGATTTCTTTTTTTCTAAAAGCCAGGAGGGAGGAGGCGGATCTTACCTCATTTGGGAGTGTGTTCCATAGGCGGGGGGCCACAGCCGAGAAGGCCCTGTCTCTCATCCCCGCCAGGCGCATCTGTGCTGTTGACAAGAGCAGGGCCTCCCCGGATGATCTTAGATTACGAGGGGGGACGTAGGGGTGGATGTGTTCGGACAAGTAAGCTGGGCCAGAACCATATAGAGCTTTATAGGTCAAAACCAACACTTTTATGAGAAATGCTCATAATCAAGGAAATCCAATATCCACAAGTCCACTATTATTAATACTATTTGTTTATTTAGTGCTTTACAAGTAAGACAACAACAAAACAGATATCTTTCCTCAGGCTTACAATCTAATTAAGACAGGACACAAAAGGACAACGGAGTGGCAAGGTCGGAGAACAGTCAGTCCAGTAGCGATTGCCTCTTCTCTCCCTCTGAGGCGTTATCAATTGGGATGTAGGGAAGGTTTGGCCCAATTCTATCGTTGGTGGGGTTCAGAATGTGATTGTAGGTGAACTATAAATCCCAGCAACTACAACTCCCAAATTTCAAGATTCTATTTTCCCCAAACTTTAACAGTGTATATTTGGGTATATTGGGTATTCATGTAGAGTTTGGTCCAGATCTGTCATTGTTTGAGTCCACAGTAGATGTAGGTGAACTACAACTCCAAAACCAAAGGACACTGCCCACCAAACCCTTCCAGTATTTTCTGTTGGACATGGGAGTTCTGTGTGCCAAGACTGGTCCAATTCCGTCGTTGCTGGAGTTCAGAATACTCTTTGATTGTAGGTGAACTATAAATCCCAGCAACTATAACTCTCAAATGACAAAATCAATTTTTTTGAGTGAAGGACATACATTGGGTTGTTAGGTGTCTTGTGTCCAAATTTGGTGTCAATTCATCCAGTGGTTTTTGAGTTCTGTTAATCCCACAAACTAACATTACATTTTTATTTATATAGATTTTTGTGAAAACTTGTTAACCTCCCTGTTGTGTTAAATAGGCCTGAATTGTTTCGGCAACGAGTCCTTGAGCTGAATGCCTCTGACGAAAGGGGAATCCAAGTCATTAGAGAAAAGGTGAAGAGGTTCGCTCAGCTGACGGTGTCGGGAAGTCGTTCAGAGTAAGCACAATGATCATCGTCTCTCTTTCATTTTTGTACAGGTTAGCCCTATAGGGCTAAAATAAGCCATGATTAAGCACTACGTGATGGCTCTCAGCCTCTAAAAAGCATGCCAGCATAAGTCGCTAGGGCATAACTGCATTTTGTGAGCATTTGTTATTCAGTAGCTCTGCTCATCTTGCATTAATGTCCCTAATAGGTGTTCTTTGTGTTCTTACAGTGCAGTGTCATTTTATGCGCACTGTCACTTTGTGCTTTTGTAATCCTGAAAATATTTGTCTTGAACTTGAATCACTCGATCATAGAATCATAAGAGTTGGAAGAGAACTCATGGGCCATCCAGTCCAACCCCTTGCAAGAAAATTGCATTCAAAGCACCCCCGACAGATGGCCATCCAGCCTCTGCTTAAAAGCTTCCAAAGAAGGAGCCTCCCCCACACTCCGGGGCAGAGAGTTCCACTGCTGAACGGCTCTCACAGGAAGTTCTTCCGAATATTCAGATGGAATCTCCTTTCTTGTAGTTTGAAGCCATTGTTCCGCGTCCTAGTCTCCAAGGAAGCAGAAAGGAAGCTTGCTCCCTCCTCCCTGTGACTTCCTCTCACATACTTATACATGGCTATCATGTCTCCTCTCATCATTTTGCACTCAGTTATCAAATTTGATTTGATGCTAGGATAATATGGAGCTATAGAAGTAGGGGCCTAGTCTCCAGGGCAGCAGGAAACAAGTTTGCTATAATAATAATAATAATAATAATAATAATAATAATAATAATAATTTATTTATACCCCGCCACCATCTCCCCAAGGGACTCGGAGCGGCTTACATGAGGCCAAGCCCAACAACACATCAAAAACAACAAGCAATAATAAAATACAAGCAAGAAACAAAATAAACAACACAATTAATATAACTCACAAGTAGGCAATAACACACAGGAATTTTAAAAACTATGGCTGGGCCAAATGTAATAATTAAAACTTTAAAATTCAATGCTGGACATGCACAGAGGATGTATCTATTTGGAGGATTTTAAATCAAAAGTAAAGAGCAACCCAATGGGTAAAAAAAGTGCTATGTGACTTCCTCTCACATATTTATACATGGCTATCATGTCTCCTCTCAGCCTTCTCTTCTTCAGGCTAAACATGCCCAGCTCCTTAAGCCGCTCCTCATAGGGCTTGTTCTCCAAACCCTTGATCATTTTAGTCGCCCTCCTCTAGACACATTCCAGATTGTCAATATCTCAATTGTGGTGTCCAGAATTGTGGACACAATATTCCAGGTGTGGTCTAACCAAGGCATGACTTCCCTGGATGTAGACACTATACTCAGTGGCATATGAACAATGGCATAACAAATAATGGAGGTGGCATTGGATATCCTACATCCTATCTGTCTTAAATGAATAGAGTTGACTGGAGTGCTGCAGGGTTCCGTCCTGGGCCTGGTCCTGTTCAACATCTTTATTAATGACTTAGATGAAGGGTTAGAAGGCAGGATCATCAAGTTTGCAGACGACACCAAATTGGGAGGGATAGCCAATACTCCAGAGGACAAGAGCAGGATTCAAAACGATCTTGACAGATTAGAGAGATGGGCCACAACTACCAAAAATGAAGTTCAACAGTGACAAATGCAAAATACTCCACTTAGGCGGAAAAAGTAAAATGCAAAGATACAGAATGGGGGACAATGCCTGGCTCAAGAGCAGTACGTGTGAAAAAGATCTTGGAGTCCTCGTGGACAACAAGTAAAACACGAGTCAACAATTATTTATTATTTATTTAAAACTTTTATATCCCAGTCTTCTCTACCTCTGCAGAGGGACTCAGACTGGCTATGTCATGCAGCAACAATGTCATGCGGCACCTTAAAAAGCTAATGAGATTTTGGCCTGCATCAATAGGAGCGTAGTGCCTAGATCCAGGGAAGTCATGCTACCCCTGTATTCTGCCTTGGTTAGACCACACCTGGAATATTGTGTCCAATTCTGGGCACCACAATTCAAGAGAGATATTGACAAGCTGGAATGTGTCCAGAGGAGGGCGACTAAAATGATCAAGGGTCTGGAGAACAAGCCCTATGAGGAGCGGCTTAAAGAGCTGAGCATGTTTAGCCTGAAGAAGAGAAGGCTGAGAGGAGACATGATAAGAACCATGTATAAATATGTGAGGGGAAGTCCTAGGGAGGAGAGAGCAGGCTTGTTTTCTGCTGCCCTGGAGACTACGATGTAAAACAATGGCTTCAAACTACAGGAAWGGAGATTCCACCTGAACACGAGGAAGAACTTCCTGACTGTGAGAGTTGTTCAGCAGTGGAACTCTCTGCCCTGGAGTGTGGTGGAGGCTCCTTTTTTGAAGGCTTTTAAAGAGAGGCTGGATGGCCATCTGTCAGGGGTKCTTTGAATGCGATATTCCTGCTTCTTGGCAGGGGGTTGGACTGGATGGCCCATAAGGTCTCTTCCAACTCTAGCATTCTATGACTATTAAAAAAAGTTAGRGGAGGCAGCCATAAGCATGCAAYTGAAAGAGGATTAGAATAAATATTGAGGGTAAAACTGCAAAGCTTAGAGTAGTTTAAAAAAATTGTCTCATAACCTCTGAGGATGCCTGCCATAGATGCAGGCGAAACGTCAGGAGAGAATGCTTCTAGAACATGGCCATATAGCCYGAAAAACCTACAAGAACTCAAAGGTACTACTATCAAAGGCTTTCATAGMCAGAATCACTGKGTTGTTGTAGGTTTTTTTCGGGCTGTATGGCCATGTTCTRGAGGCATTTTCTCCTGACATTTCACCTGCATCTATGGCAAGCATCCTCAGAGGTAGTGAGGTCTATTGGAACTAGGAGAGTAGGTTTATATATCTGTGGAATGACCAGGGTGGGGCAAAGAACTCTTGTCTGTTGGAGCTAGGTGTGAATGTTTCAACTGCCCACCTTAATTAGCATTCGATGGCCTGGCAGTGCCTGGGGCAATCTTTTGTTGAGAGGTGATACAAAGGTACTACTGTTTTTATGCCTTAGAGSAGCCTTCCCCAGATCATGGCTTCTAGATGACTCGAACAACATTATCCACAGCCAACTGAGAGGGTTGCTTTGGTCAAATTTGGGATATTGCTTTTCTTAGGTATTCTTTCAAACTCTTTCACCAATCAAAGAAGAATTTAACTTGTTTCTATAAAGTAATTGAAGAGTAATTGAAGACTCCAGTAGGAATAAGAGTATTGTCGAAGGCTTTATGACTGGAGTTGCTGAGTTGTTGTGAGTTTTCCGGGCTGTATGGCAATGTTCCAGAAGCATTCTCTCCGCGAAACGTCAGGAGAGAATGCTTTTGGAACATGGCCATACAGCCCAGAAAACTCAATACAGCTCAATAATGTAGTGTTCTGCGATGCATGTCCTATATGCATGAATAGTTCTTAAATATTAAATCTTCAATGTGTCGTCGAAGGCTTATTAAATCCTCCTTCACATCTCAGAAACTGATCGTTGAGCAGTGTTCGGAGGTGAGATTTATTGATTTTTCCATGCATTCATTCTGCTAGTATTTAATATGTATTTTGCTGATGGGTTTGTGTTCAGTGGCAAGCCGTGTCCCCCTTTCAAGATCGTAATCTTGGATGAAGCCGATTCTATGACCTCAGCAGCTCAGGCGGCTTTAAGGCGCACCATGGAGAAGGAATCCAAAACAACACGTTTCTGCCTGATCTGTAATTACATCAGCCGGTACGTACGAGCTTTCAAATGCTTTCTTGTTTAGGATGCAGAATCCAGTTATTTAGAAAATCTTTTTTTAAAAAGAGAAGCCAAGATTGAGCATGCATTTAAAGACTTAATTACCTTAATTTACTGTATTTACTATTTATGCAGAATTTATTTATTTATTTATTTATTTATCAAATCGTCAATATGGTCACCGTCACAGTTCATCCTCCTCCTTCCATGTGGACGAAGGTTATAGATTCAGTCTTCAAATGCCACATTCCAAAGCTAGGTCTTTATTAGTTTCCTGAAGGTCAGGAGGGAGGGAGCAGATCTAATCTCTAGTGGGAGGGAGTTCCAAAGCCGAGGAGCCACCACCGAGAAGGCCCTGTCCCTCGTCTCCATCAAACGCGATTGTGAAGGTGGTGGGACCGAGAGCAGGGCCCCTCCGGAAGATCTTAATAACCTTAGGGGAGAATCCATTTGGACAGGTAAACTGGGCTGGAGTCGTTTAGAGCTTTATAGGTCAAAACCAGCACTAGGACACTACTCCTTGTGGAGACAAGGGACAGAGCCTTCTCTGTGGTGGCCCCTCGCCTCTGGAATTCACTCCCAAGAGATATTAGGCAAGCCCCCACCCCAGCAGTCTTTAGGAGGAGCCTGAAAACTTGACTGTTCCAGTGTGCCTTCAATGATTGAATGTACAATAAATAATCCCTGACCAAACCCTGCATTACATTTTTAATATTTTGCAATTGGCCCTGCCCATTGTGATCAATTTTCTGTGTTTTAATGTTATGATTTTATATTGTTTGTTCTGTTTATTTATATTGGTTTTTGTATTTTTTTAAATTTTCTGTTGTGTTCTTGTGTTATATTGTTTTGTTGTATTGCTGGGCTTGGCCTCATGTAAGCCGCCCGAGTCCCCTTGGGGAGATAATAATAAATAATAATAAACCTTTATTTATACCCCGCTACCATCTCCCGGAGGACTCGGTGCGGCTTACAAGAGGCTGAGCCCAAATACATCAATAAAAACAACACAGCAATACAGACAATAAATAAACTCATAAACAAAGCAATAAACAATAACAGTAACACCACGACGCATTAAAAACCTATGGCAGGGCCAAATGTAATGATTAAAATTTTAAAATACTGAGCATGACAAGGTGACATATAACTAGGATGGGTATTTGGAGAGAAAAGGAGCGAGCAGACAATCCTAGATCATTAGTAAAGTGCAATTAGGGACATGTTGCTTAGGGTTCCTTATTCTGGGGAGGCACACTGGAGATGGTGGCGGGGTATAAATAAAGGTTTATTATTATTGTTACTATTATTATTGTGGTTGTTATTATTATTGTTATTGTTATTTTCTGCATCAATAGGAGTCTAGTACCTAGATCTAGGAAAGTGATGCTCCTCCTCTATTCTGCCTTGGTCAGACCACACCTGGAATCACACTGTGTCCAATTCTGGGCACTGCAATTGAAGGGAGATGTTGACAAGCTGGAATGTGTCCAGAGGAGGGCGACTAAAATGATCAAGGTTCTGGAGAACAAGCCCTATGAGGAGCGGCTTAAGGAGCTGGGCATGTGTAGCCTGCAGAAGAGAAGGCTGAGAGGAGACACGATGATGGCCATCTATAAATACGTGACGAGGGAGCAAGCTTGTTTTCTGCTTCACTGGAGACTAAGATGCTGAACAATGGCTTCAAACTACAGGGAAGGAGATTCCACTGAACATGAGGAAGAACTTCCTGACTGTGAGAGCTGTTCAGCAGTGGAACTCTCTGCCCCAGAGTGTGGTGGAGGCTCCTTCTTTGAAGGCTTTTAAACAGAGGCTGGATGGCCATCTGTCAGGGGTGATTTGAATGCAATATTCCTGCTTCTTGGCAGGGGGTTGGACTGGATGGCCCACGAGGTCTCTTCCAACTCGATGATTCCCTGATTCTATTCTTAGCCACCCTTCCATTTACAGAAAATGAGAATTGTAGCACAAATGATGTATTTTTCCTGTTATGAGTGCTTGGGAATGAAAGCTATGCTATATTGTAGAAATGATATTTCCCTTTTTGTTTTCCTGTGTTTCCTTTCCTCCCTTTGATAGGATAATCGAACCTATAACGTCTCGATGCTCTAAATTCCGTTTCAAGCCCCTTTCAGACAAAATCCAACGGCAGAGACTCCTAGAAGTTGCTGAAAAGGAGAATGTTGCAGTCAGCAGTGAGGTAGCTTTGCAGCCGATTCAGATGTTTATTGATTTAATGCTGTAGAAAGCCTGCATTTAAAGGATTTTTTTTAAAAAAAGTCATTGGTTTTCTTGACCCTGAATACTACAGGCTCAAAAAAGGAGGGCCCTGGATGCTATAAAAATGGCTCTGGGGGCTACATATAGGCTGTGGCCATTATAATTTGCCATTATAAGAGAATTAGATTGTTGGAAATAGCAACCTTCTATGAACCTCCTATGCTAGTTATTTGTTATGTATGTATATAATTGTGATTGCTTACTATATTGCATGTATATATTGGTATGCAGTTTTGTGCAGGGCGACAATTTTGTTTCTGATGTTGTGCTGTCACACGCTGGACCTGTAGCAATTGTCTGTTAACAGGACATGATCTTTATGTGCCCAGCAGGACGCCGGGGTGCCTTGGCTTAGAGGCCCAATGAATTTCCCTATACAAAGTCTTTAGAAGCTTGGAAAGTTTAACAAAGTTCTTTATTGGTGCAACAAATCAGTCAAATACTTCTTAGATCTTCAACAAATCAACCAAATATTTCTTAACTTGTCCACAATGGACAGGCAACTAGCTTCATGAACTGTTTCTTTCTTCTATGAGGGAAATCCTTTTGACCCCTCCCTGGGCAATCTGTCTTTTAGGCTTAGCTGGCATGGGGCCCTACTCCCGGTTCCAATTTGCTTTATGGGTACCCGAGTAGACCTTACTGGCTAAAACTCTGAAGATTTTCCAGCTGGAGTCCTTTGGATTTTTTCCACGAATGCTGTGGATCTGTTTCTTTAACCCCAACAAGGGCTGTGCTGTATTTCTTAGTAAAGCTGTGAGAATTGTCTTCCCCAGCCAAGCTTGTAAGAAATGAAGCTTTTCTACAGGAGGGGAAAACTCACACGTCCTGTAGTGGGGCTTCAAACTGTAAGACTGAACAAACTGTCCCCTTTTCCCTCCTGAACCTGGGGAAAAGGGTGGTTCCAAAAGCCCCAATGATGATAGGCAGTGTATTGTCGAAGGCTTTCATGGCTGGAATCACTAGGTTCTTGTGGGTTTTTTCGGGCTATAGGGCCATGTTCTAGAGGCATTTCTCCTGACGTTTCGCCTGCATCTATGGCAAGCATCCTAAATATGTTCTCCTTTAATCTTCACAAACCTAGACATATGTACTATTACTACAGGTAATGAGTGGAGGACAGAGGAGCCTGTCTGAGAGACCCAGAAATCTTGCTTGTTTGTAGGTGACCAAATACTTATTTCCCACCATAATTTGCAAATAAATTCGTTAAAAATCCGGCAGTGTGATTTTCTGGATGTGTTTTCTCATGTTGTCTCTCATAGTTGAGGTCTACCTATGATGTCAGGTAGAGGCCTCTCTCATCTTTTGAAGTGGGAGAACTTGTACACCTCACTTCCTCTGAGGATGCTTGCCATAGATGCAGGCGAAACGTCAGGAGAAATGCCTCTAGAACATGGCCTATAGCCCAACCTGGGGAAAAGGGCAGTTCCAAAAGCCCCAACAATGATAGGCAGGCTGCTAGCCTAGGACTGCAGCCTGGGGGAAGCTGCTTAACTGCAAAATGCCTGGCTAACAAAAACGCAAACTAACCATGCATAGAGTAATCTGGCAGATAGACAAAGGACAACGACGACTAGAATTGTTAGGATTTGACATTGTGGAATGAACTTACAGATTCTGAGCTGGCGAACGTTGAGCATTAGATTGGTTTTATTGATTGTGATGTATAATTGATTGTTTTGAATTGTTTTATAATTGCTGTTTATATATGTTTTATCCTATTGTTTCTGTTGGCATTGAATTGTGCTTTTAGTAAGGCACCCTGAGTCCCCTTTCGGGGGTTGAGAACGGCGGGGTAGAAATGCACGACATAAATAAATAAATAAATAAATAAATAAATAAATAAATAAATAAATAAATAAATAAATAAATTTGTGGAGTTTGGAGTGTGACTGCTTGAGGTTGTGGACAAGTGTCTTTTATACTGATAACAATTTCAAATAGGTTCCATTACTACAGGTAATGAGTGGAGGACAGAGGAGCCTGTCTGTGAGACCCAGAAATCTTGCTTGTTTGTAGGTGACCAAATACTTATTTACCACTATAATTTACAATTTGTTAAAAATCAGACAATGTGATTTTCTGGATGTATTTTCTCATGTTGTCTCTCATAGTTGAGGTCTACCTATGATGTCAATTACAGGCCTCTCTCATCTTTTTAAGTGGGAGAACTTGTACAATTGGTATCTCTAAACCCCCCCCCCCCCCCATATCTGTGAAACACATTCAGCCAAATAGTTATTGTGACAGAAACATTTGAGAATGTATTGTCGAAGGCTTTCATGGCCGGAATCACTGGGTTGTTGTAGGTTTTTTCGGGCTATATGGCCATGGTCTAGAGGCATTCTCTCCTGACGTTTCACCTGCATCTATGGCAAGCATCCTCAGAGGTACAGCACAACAACAGAGAGGAAACAAACAAGGACATCTAATCACCTCCTAACAAAAGTTTGCTCCAGGCACTGTCAGGCCATTATATGCTAATCAAGGTGGTCAGTTGAAACATTTACACTTAGCTCCAGCAGACAAGAGTCCTTTGTCCCACCCTGATCATTCCACAGATATATAAACCCTTTTTCCTAGTTCCAACAGACCTCACTACCTCTGAGGATGCTTGCCATAGATGCAGGCAAAACCTCTAGAACATGACCATATAGCCCGAAAAAACCTACAACAACCCATTTGAGAATGTATCTTGATTTGACAAAGTTTTATAGTTTTTTAACATTTTAGTGAAGATTTTATTTATTTTTTGGTCTGATGTACAACTTGGTTGAACAGTTTTTTAAAAAATATTCAAAATAAAAATATTTGGATCATTGGTAATAGTGCTCTGTCCCTCCGCTTCCTCCTCAGTTAGCCTTTCTGCTAAGTTGGATATTGAGTGAAATCTGTTCCAAGGCCAAAAGACTATGAGTCAGAAAAAAGCATCATCGCCAATCTGCTGCCCATTATTTGCTTTGGTGTTCCTTCAAATATTATGTCATCTTGGCAGGCCATCTCACACCTTGTACACGTGTCGGAGGGAGACTTGAGAAAGGCCATCACGCTGCTCCAGAGCGCCACGCGACTGACGGGTGGAAAAGAAGTCACGGAAAAAATTGTAACGGAAATTGCAGGGGTGAGTCTTCTTGTTTTTATTCTAAGGATCTATCACAGGCATGGGCAAACTTGGGCCCTCAGGTCCCCAGACTATATTTCCCTACCTGTATGAAGGTCTATATTTATGACCCTGTTCCTTTATGAGTTTCTCCCCCACAAATAATCTGCTCCATCCCTATCTCATCCTGATTTTAGTATTTTTAGTATCTTAGTTTTTATCTTGCACATGTGGCCGCTCATTGTTATGTTACTGTGTATGATTTTGCTTTATCGTCTTTGCACTCATACCTTGTATGTCTTTTACTGTGTTGTTATTGTGTTTTGGTTTTACTTTATTGTAATATGCTGTTGAGCTTGGCCTCATGTAAGCCACCCTGAGTCCCCATTGGGGAAATGGTGGCGGGATATTAAATAAAGATTATTATTATTATTATTATTATTATTATTATTATTATTATTATTTTGGACTTCAACTCCCACAATTCCTAACAGCCTCAGGCCCTTTGCTTTTTCCTCCTCAGCCACTTAAGCACCTGAGAGGAAAAAGAAAGGGGCTTGAGGCTGTTAGGAATTGTGGGAGTTAAAGTCCAAAACACCTGGAGGGTCCAAGTTTGCCCATGCCTGATGTACAGTACTGTACTTGGTGTAAGGTTTTCTTCAAAATTGTGCTGTCAGTATATTGTGCACAAGTGAAATGCATGATTTCCATAAGTATAGGTGGCCTTCCATATTCACAGGTTTATTTTATTATTATTATTCATGGCCTTGATTAATTTGGTCTCCATAGAAATCTTTTGGTCTCTCAGTGCAACTCTGGCAGAAGTTGACCATAGAGCCACATTGGAGGACCTTCAGATAATGTTTTCACAGTTGCAGGAGTCCTGCGCCACTAACTTCAGTGAATGTGGAGTACCTGTTGTCAGAAATTTGAACTTGAGCTTTCAATTCTAAAAGGAAGCACTTTGATTGAAACTTTTGCCCTTCCTGTTTCAAGTTTGTGTTGCATTAGGCATAACTAACTGGGTTTTACTTATTTATTGACTTTTTTTTTTACTGAACTTTGACTCAACACAACTCATTATTTATTATCATATTTATTTGTACCCTTGTTTTTCTCTCAGACTCTTAGAAAATTCAAATATATAATTTAAATGTATCTAAATTTAGATTATCACCCTGAATTAAATATTATCTGTTGGGCAAGTGGGCTTATTAACAAAATACTTCCTCATCAATGTATAGCAGAGTAATTTATTAGCAGCAGCATGACCCAGTGTCAGTAGCCAAAAGCGATAAAAAGAACAAAAACACACAAATTTATTTATTTATTTATTTATTTATTTATTTATTTATTTATGTCGCGCATTTCTACCCCGCCGTTCTCAAGCCCCACGGGGGGACTCAGGGCGGCTTACAAAAGGCACAATTCGATGCCAACATAAACAATAGGATAAAACATATATAAACAGCAATTATAAATCAATTTAAAACAATCAATTATACATCACAATCAATAAAACCAATCTAATGCTCAACGTTCGCCAGCTCAGAATCCGTAAGTTCACTCCACAATGTCAAATCCTAACAATTCTAGTTGTCGTTGTCCTTTGTCTATCTGCCAGATTACCCAAAGGCCTGGTCCCATATCCATGTTTTTAGTTTCCTTCTAAAAGAGAGGAGGGATGTCGATGACCAAATTTCCCCGGGGAGTGAATTCCACATGTGAGGGGCCACCACCGAGAAGGCCCTGCTCCTCATCCCCACCAATCTCACTTGTGATAGAGGTGGGGCCGAGAGCAGGGACCTCCCCAGAAGATCTTAAACTCCAAGGCGGGACGTACCAATGTTATCTCTTCCATAGGAGACTTTTCTTTATAGCAAAATAATATGGTTGTACTACAAGAACAAGATTTCCATAACACAAATAAAATTCTTCATACTTCCTTCTTTGCTTCCACGCTGGGCTTCTTTCTCATGCAGATAAACAGCTTCGCTCTCACAGAGCCTTCTCTCAAATTGGTTACAAAGGAAATTCACACAAATTAGCTTTATACACGATGATCTTCAACCTGGGGCTTCTCTCACTGAAGCTTCTCACACTGAGGCCTTTCTTCCAGTGAGGCCTCCTCACACTGAGGGCTCTCTCAGACTGACACCTCTCTCAGACTGAGGGCAAACTAATACTGAGGCCTACTAAGCTACAGGCACGTCTGCTTATATCGAACTGCAGCTTTTGCTGAGTCATTGCATCCATTTAACTTTTGGTACTACACTCACATTTTTGTAATTAAAAATACCTAGTTAATTTTTAATATTTCTGACATTATGTGCCATTGAAAGATATATTTTAAAAATGTAAAGGCAAAAAGGAGTTTAGAAATAGTACAATATCTTATCAGAAGCCATTTATTAAAGAACAGGTGGTTTCCATTTCCTTCCATAATAATACAAAATAGGTTTTGATTGCTGATGGATGGACAAAGAGCAGGTGGCCAGTCTTGCCGTCTTAGCAAGTGAGATCTTTTATGTAGAAACAGCCAGGGATAAGGCTCTCACTCATATCAACATCAGATAGTTCTTTGAACCTGTAAAAGCTGAGCTTCTCCCAGATCTGCAGCAGATTCAAACTCTGTTCCAAAACTTTGCAGGGCTTTATACGTCATAAGCAACACTTTGAATTATTCTTAGAGATGGGCGAGTAGCCAGGGGAGCTGTGATAAAAATAGATCTGTATGTGTACTAGTGAAATATTAATAATATTCTGTACAAAAATATCCCTGCTGTGCTCATGGAACAAAATTTTAGTATTTTATGTATTTTGAATTGCTAACAAATTAGTTAACTCAGCAAAACGAATTGATAAAGTTAATACACTCATTCCCATACAAAGAATTTAAGCCCCTTTGACACTGTCACATATAATCCAGATTATCAAATCAGATAATCTGCTTTTTCTGTTTTGAACTGGATTATATGAGTCTGCACTGCCATATAATCCAGTTCAAAGCAGATAATCTTGATTTTATATGGCAGCGTAGAAGGAGCCTTAGAAAATAAAATGAAGACCAAATTTCCCAAAGAGATGCTGTATACAATCTTAAGTAAAAGTTTACTTGCTATATAACTTCTAGAAATTTATGTACCCTATTTCTTTTCCCTATATTTCTTAAAGCTATGTGGTACATATATGTTTACTTAAGACTATACAGTATCTCACCTCATTGCCATTTTTGGTCTTTGTTTCCTTTTGCTGCAACACTCTGTCAAGAATTTTCCATAATTTTTTTCAGTTCTGGGGAGGGGAAAGATTTTCCCTTTGGAGCCCAATTTTAACCTGCTGAGTCTCCCTGCAGGCCAAAACATCCTGTTCTGTCCCTAAATTGTCTCTATATTCAGTTATAGAGCTGCCAGAGTGGCAGTAGGTATGTCATATTCGCCAATATATAACTGAATATAGAGGTACTTCTGATGTGTGGAGGAAAGCCCTTTGAGTGATTACTTGTGGAAGATCTGGAAAGGTTAGAGGACCCCAAGGCCGTGGCAGGAAAGTTTGGGAGCTTCATGCAGCTTCTGGACTTACTTTTCCCATTCTTGATCAGTTTACAATGTCCCTTAGCTGTTTTATATAAAGTACTAGCTGTCCCCTGCCACGCGTTGCTGTGGCCCAGTCTGTTGATCTGGAAAATAAAGTAATGAGAAAGTGTTGGTTTCTAATATATGTAATTTCTTTCTTCTTGTGGGTAAATAGTATTTCTTGCTGTTTCTTTGTCACTGTTGATGTGGAGATTGTCTGGTTTGCCTACTCTGGAACATGCAACATATCATTGTCCTTTAAGGGTCCGTTTCAAATCTATGATACTATATCTCTCTGTGTGTGAATCATATATATCTATCTATATCTATGGTTGGATGGCTCTTTGTCAGGAGGCCTTTGATTACGTTTTCTTGCCCTGGTGAAGGGAGTTGGATTGGATGGCCTTAAGTATTTTCTGATGGTCATGGAGATTCTGTGTGGGAAGTTTGGCCCAATTCTGTCGTTTGTGAGATTCAGAATGCTCTGATTGTAGGTGAACTATAAATCCCAGCAAATACAACTCCCAAATGTCAAGGTCTATTTTCCCCAAACTCCATCTGTATTCATATTTGGGCATATGGAATATTTGTGCCAAGTTTGGTCCAGATCCATCATTGTTTGAGTCCACGGTGCTCTCTGGATGTAGGTGAACTACAACTCCCAAACTCAAGGTCAATGCCCACCAAACCCTTCTAGTGTTTTCTGTTGGTCATGGGAGTCCTGTATGCCACATTTGGTTCAATGCCATAATTGGTGGAGTTCAGAATGCTCTTTGATTGTAGGTGAACTATAAATCCCAGCAAATACAACTCCCAAATGTCAAGGTCTATTTCCCCCAAACTCCACCAATGTTCACATTTGGGCATATTGAGTATTTGTGCCAAGTTTGGTCCAGATCCATCATTGTTTGAGCCCATGGTAGTCTCTGGATGTAGGTGAACCACAACTCCAAAACTCAAGGTCAATTGCCACCAAACCCTTCCAGTATTTTCTGTTGGTCATGGAAATTCTGTGTTCCAAGTTTGGTTCTATTCCATCGCTGGTGGAGTTCAGGATGCTCTTTGATTGTAGGTGAACTATAAATCCCAGCAACTACAACTCCCAAACGACAAAATCATAATTTTTTGAGTGATGGTCATTCCTTGTGTTGTGAGACGTTTTGTTGGCAAATTTGGTGTGATTTCGTTCATTGGTTCTTTTGTTTTTAAGGTACTCTATGCACAGAGCATTTTTTTATATATAGATAGATAGATGTGTTGAAGTATTTATTGTGGCTTTTCTGGGTAACTACTCTTGGGGGTTTTTTTGCTTGCACATTAGTCTTGGCATTAAAACCGAAAGAAGCTTGGCGCATCATGACATAGATCTGCACGTATTAATGCCACTTTCTGTTCTAGGTCATCCCTAGAGAAATGCTGGACGGGTTACTTGCTTCCTGCCAGAGCGGTTCGTTTGAAAAACTGGAAGCTGTAACGAAGGTAGCTTGCTTTAACATGCAGAATGCAGATTTTAAAATTCTGCTTTTCCTCTTTGTGAGCACAGTTGTAGTTGCTGTGAGAGGAGACGGTTATGTAAGCACTCAGAAACTAAAAACGACTTTCCTTGGAGCCAATCACGGTTTAAGTGTAACATGAACTTCTTGACATTTATTTGGCTTGTGACCTTAGGTGGCAGAGCGCTTCAAAGGGAGGAAGCAGCACTCTTAGCTTGCAAGTGTCCCTGAGTCCTACTCTAGTTTATATAGCTAGCTAGCTAGATCTAGTTTCAATACAGTCCAAAAATAGTCGTGCAAACTATAAAACTAGTACTCTAAAAAAAACCTTCTGCCACAACACAGGCATATTACAAGGGTTGAATGAAAAGTAATGCCTCCACCTTCGTTACTTGGGTTTGGATGGGAATATTTTAATAAATCAAATGCAGAAATAATCCTTAGAATTTGCTCTTTAACTATCACTATTTACTTTTCTACATAATCACCAGACAATTGGATACATTGTATTGTCGAAGGCTTTCATGGCCGGAATCACTGGGTTGTTGTAGGTTTTTTCGGGCTTTGTCCAACCCTGGTCATTCCACAGATATATAAACCCTTTTGCCAACAGACCTCACTACCTCTGAGGATGCTTGCCATAGATGCAGGTGAAACGTCAGGAGAAATGCCTCTAGAACATGGCCATATAGCCCGAAAAAACCTACAACAACCCATTGGATACATTTCTGCCAACAATGAAGAAATTTTCTGAAACCATCATGGAAGAAGTCAACACTGTATTTCTGCAACCAGCGTCTCATGGTTCTCTCATCCTGGGTACCCATCGTGAACAGATCTTCCGATAGCCAAGCAAAGCAATAATGTGACCCACGCATTTTTGTGAAATGCCAACTATGCTTGAAATTTCTCTCCGAGTGATATGACGATTGGCCTGAATCAATCTGTCAACCTTTTGCTTGTGAAACTCGGTGGATGCTGTCACAGGACGTCCAACTCTTTGTTTGTCACGCAAGTCAGATGTTCCCACCTCAACATCTTTAAACTTACTCGTCCAATGACGCACAGTACTCACATCAACACAATCCTCATCAACAGCTTGCATTCTCTGATGAATCTCCTTTGGGGTGACACCTTCTACTGTCAATAATTCAATGACTGCATGTTGCTTAAGTCGCATTGACCGACCGTCTGCGCAGGGTTCCATACTTTGCACTTTAACAACACAACCGTTCAATGAATCATAGAATCAAAGAGATGGAAGAGACCTCATGGGCCATCCAGTCCAACCCCCTGCCAAGAAGCAGGAATATTGCATTCAAATCACCCCTGCATTCAATGCTAAGGCTTCTCACCAAAATGGAACTGTAGAGTAGAGTCTACTGAACAAGGCGGTGCCTGCCGCATACCAGTACTGCCATCTGTTGAGTACGTAGGTGGAGGCATTACTTTTCATTCAACCCTTGTAAATGTCACTATTTCCCCGTCCACAAATCCTTCTGTCAAACAAGGTTTGTGTTTCCCTGGGTGCCACATTTTCCAGCAGAACTGCACTGATTTTGGTGGGGGTGGAATTTTCCGTAAAAGTGGGACAGTGTTTCTAGGTCAAGATATGCACAGTCTGCACCCAGTGGAGGTTGCCCACTTTTGTCTTCGAAGAAGAGCACCATTAATGTGAAACTTTTGTATATCTTTTGAATTCATAGAATTGCAGAATCATAGCATCGGATGTTGGGCGATTAGGGCCTTTTAATCCAATGCCCAACCAGGCAGAAATATACAGCTAAAGCACATGCAGTGTGGAAAGTACCGAAGGAACAGTACAACTGCCATGGTTCAATGCTGTGACATCCCAGAAATTGTAGTTTGATGAAGCGCCAGCACTCTTGGGCAGAGAAGGTCGAAGGATCTAGTAAAACTATAGTTCCCATGATTCCATAGCATTGAGCCTTCAACTCCCAGAAATCCTAACAGCTGGTAAACTGTGTGGGATTTCTGGGAGATGTAGGCCAAAACACCTGTGGACCCACAGGTTGAGAACCACTGCCTAATAGTGAGATGGGCAGGACCAGAGGTGGGAAAATGTTGCCAGATTCAGGTTGAGCACCTCACCCTTTATTAATAATTCCAAAATTCAGAATATTCCACAATTGGTGACACCTTTGCTTCCTTTTGGTTCTGTGTACACAAACTTTGTGTTATGCACAATGTTATTAAAAACCATTGTATGAAATGACTTCCAGGATATAAGGTGTATATGAAACATAAAGGAATTTCGAATTACTAAGCTCTCATCTCCTACGATAACTCCAGTAGAGACATTCCAAAACTGCAGCTCCCAGCATTCCTCTTCATTGGTTGTGCTGGCTGGCTCAATCTGCCTCAAAGATTAAATTAGCAGACAGGTCTTTCTTAATTATTAGCCAGCAGTGTTGGATTCTCACAAGACTCTGAGCTTGTGGAGAGGCATGTGATGTAAACCTATCTACGTAGACTTCTGATGGATTCTGCCTCGAGTTAATTCAGACTTCACTAAGCTAATTAACTAGTTTGTGTTTAAAAGCTCTTAAATAATGGTACAGTACAACAATACTGTTGTCTGAGCCATCAACTAATCCTCTGGGTATTAGACATATCCCAATTAGATAACTTTTTAGAATTCACTGTATAATATGCTTGCATTTTTAATAAGACATCGCCTCTGCAGAAGTTGTGGGGCATGGAAAGGAGTTAATAATACTAAAAGCTTTATTTGTGCCTGGCTTTCTGCTGTTTAAGCCGAGGCATCGTTTGAGTTTGTATTACTGAAAGGTGTCTGTGGCCTGAGCCAATAATGACTCCTTGGTTAAAGCTGCTTCTCACGGTTAGGTTTTCCTTGTGTCTAGAACCTGATTAATGAAGGTTATGCAGCTACGCAGCTTATCAACCAGCTTCATGATATCATTGTCGAGAGAGAGGATCTCAGCGACAAGCAGAAATCCATTATTGCAGAGAAACTTGCCGTAAGTTTGAGTTGCTTGGCATTTCGGATATTTGTAATGTTTCACCAAACCCATGTATTAAATAGTGTTTTTCAACCTGGGGGTCGGGACCCCTGGGGGGGGGGTCACGAGGGGGTATAAGAGGGGTTGCCAAAGACCATTAGAAAACACAGTTTCTGTGTAGGAAGTTTAGCCCAATACTCTCATTGTTGGAGTTCAGAATGCTCTTTGATTGTAGGTGAACTATAAATCCCTGCAACTACAACTCCCAAATGTCAAGGTCTATTTTCTCTAACTTCTTCCAGTGTTCACATTTGGGCATGTTGTGTATTAGTGCCAAGTTTGTTCCAGATCCATCACTGTTTGAGTCCACAGTGCTCTCTGGATGTAGGTGAACTACAACTCCAAAACTCAAAGTCAATGCCTATCAAACCCTTCCAGTATTTACTGTTGGTCATAGGAGTTCTGTGTGCCAAGACTGGTTCAGTTGTCGTTGGTGGAGTTCAGAATGCTCTTTGATTGTATGTAAACTATAAATCTCAGCAACTACAACTCCCAAATGATAGCATCAATCTCCCCTTCAACCCCACTAGAATTCAAATTTGGGTGTATCAGGCATTTGTGCTGAATTTGGTGAATGAAAATACATCCTGCATCGGATACTTACATGACGATTAATAACAGCAGCAAAATTACAGTAGTGAAGTAGCAACATTAAAAATAATGTTATGGTTGGGGGTCACCACAACATGAGAGAACTGTATTAAGGGGTGACGGCATTAGGGAGGTTGAAAACCACTGTATTATAAGAATAGACACAAAGCATAATATATATTCATTCTGTTTTAGGATGTTGCAGGTTTGGTGCCATAAGCAATGCTTTGCTCTATTCCATCTTAAGGATATTAAGTTGATCCCGTCATGCAGAATTACAACAACTGCTGCTTCACTGCTTATGAGAAAGTCTCCTTTTATGGTAAAGGCTAAGCAGTTGGAAGCGACTTCAGAGAGAGGCAAGAGAAATAGCACTGCAACCCATCCATCTTGAGGAGAAGCTTTTAGCAGTGTGCAGTATTTCTAGTGATGAACAGGATTGCTTTGTTTAGACAAGATGAAAGAGGCAAGAAGCTTTCTTTCAGAGCTTCTGTAGTGTTATTGAGATTTATTGCAGGTATGTCCATCTTTCCCCTGCCAGAGAACTCAGAAAAGAAGTAGTTGATGATTCCTGGTATGTAGGGGATCAGAGCAGGCATGGGCAAACTTTGGCCCTCCAGGTGTTTTGGACTTCAACTCCCACAATTCCTAACAGCCAGATCAGATGCTTTTAGGGTATTAAGAAATGCAACTAGGAAAATAGCCAATTGACTTTGGGAAGAATACTAATTTTAATAGAGATGTTTTCTTCTGCACAAGGAAAGAATGCACAATTCATTTGATTCTTAATATTCACTACAGTAGACCCTCAGATAACTGACACTTATGGGAATTATGAGATGTCTGGCGGGGACGGGAGACAGGGCCTTCTCAGTGGTGGCCCCTTGGCTTTGGAACGCCCTTTCTACAGATATTAGATCGGTTCCCTCCCAACTGGCATTTTGGAGGAAAGACCTGGTTGTTTGAGCAGGTATTTGAATAGGCAGTGTAATGAATATAGGAATATGGAACGGATGATGAGATTGGATCTTGATTCTACTTATGAGATGCTAATGAGATGTTATATTGATGTTTAATTGTTTATTATGTTGTTTTAATTGTTTTTTAACTGTTTTTATGATGTTGAGCATTAATTTTGCTATTGTTAACCGCTTTGAGTCGCCTAAGGGCTGAGAAAAGCGGTATATAAATGAAGTAAATAAGTAAATAAATATAAATAAATAAATAATGTCAGATAAAGTTTCTGGTTGAGAATTACTGTTAAAATAGGCCCAAAATTATACTTCATATTATACTGTACTATTAACTATGTATTGAATTGATAGCAATACTGAAATTGAAAAACATTAAAAGCAAATAAAGATGATCTTAATGTAACTCATTTTTACTCTATTGTAAAAAATTCTTTTTTTATTCTAAGTAGTTTTTTTTTTTTTTTGCCAGTAGCTTGAGTTTCCGGTTAAGGGTCTACTCCATATAATATGTTAAATCTTATTTATAGCTTGAGAAATCCTGTGGGTTTTATTTGGATTTCTATAGCTGGAAGACCTTTGTTGTATATCTCTAGGGACAGCAGAAGACTTTCACAAATCCTGTCAAAATCCAGACAATAAAGATAAAATGGAAACCTGGAAACTGTTAACGTCTGTATACTTTTTCTTTCTTTCTGCAGGAGGTAGACAAGTGCTTGGCTGATGGTTCTGATGAGTTTTTGCAGTTGACCAGCCTCTGTGCAGTGGTGATGGAACAACTTCAGAATAGCTAAGGGACCTGGTATATTGTGTTTGATGCCATTTTGGAAACTCTTTCTATACTTTTGCAATAAAAAAAGCAACTAGAGCAAAAAGATTGTGAAGTTATTTATACTAAAATTCATTGATCCTTTTCATGTTATAGCTGAAATGTTTTTTGAATCAGTGAAGTACAAGGATATTATGTAACAGTTTGTCCTTGCTGTGAATATTCTGGGCTGCATGGCCATGTTCCAGAAGCATTATCTCCTGACATTGTGCCCACATCTATGGCAGGCATCCTCAGAGGTTGTGAGGTATATTGGGAACTAAGCAAGAGAGGTTTATATATCTGGTAGGTCCAGGGTGGGAGAAACTCTTGTCTGTTGGAGGCAAGTGTGAATATTGTAATCACCTTGATTAGCATTGCAAAACCTTGCAGCTTCAAGGCCTGGCTGGTTGCTGCCTGGGGGAATTCTTTGTTGGGAGGTGTTAACTGGCCCCGATTGTTTCATGTCTGGAATTCCCATTTTCAGAGTGTTGTTCTTGATTTACTGTTCTAATTTTAGTTTTTAAAATACTGGTAGTGATTTCGTTCATTTTCATGGTTTCCTAATTTCTGTCTCTGTGAAGGCAATATCGGAAGTGTAGAACACAATTGGTAGCATAAGCTTTCATGGATTATGCTCATTTCCTTGGGTGCATGGAGTAACATGCCTAGGAACAGCTCTTTAAAGGCAAACTTTGTCCCTAGAAATGTAGAAATGCAAAAAGTTGTGGGAACCATGAGCTGGGGGATAAATGTTATCTAAAGTCAAGCCGAGTAGATAACCTCAACACTGGCTGGAGATTAGAAAGATGTGATAAATTGGCCAAGATGGTCCTCAAGGCCGAGTTCTTGGCCAGTTCTATGTATAGTTAGCAGATGTAATAAAATGCCTTCATGCATTGCCCTCGTAAGCTAGAAAAGTCCATCCTTCTGTAGTAGTTCCACTAAGCCGATCTTGCTTTCTTTAAAAACCCTTACTGAACTGCTCCTTTAATCACGAAGGATATCAGCTGTCAAAGCAAAGCTCAGTACTGGTGAAGCATTTTCTCTTCCCAAACTTGCCCGTTTCTATAGCAAGCCACTTCTTATGTCCACAATGTACAGCTTTTTTTTGGCCTTGTCTTATCCAAGGTTTAATTCCCTCTCTGCTTTGGCAGTTGGAATTGAGAAAGCCTACAGCTCTAAACAGCAAGGTTCAACCATGCACACTAACTGGCCAAACCTGAGAAAGTTGCACTCTCAACTGCGGAGGAAGGCAAGACCATTGCAGATTTTTTATAGAGCCAGAGGAAGGTAAACCTCATTAGTGTCACCATAAATTGAAATAATGAAAATGTAAGAATGTCATGGATGTATTTAGGAATGTTCTCAAACGCTTTGTCTTGTGTTGCTCCAACAAGGAAGTCCCTACAAAGCAATGGTCCTCCAGGTGTTTTGTACTTCAGCTCCCACAATTCCTAACAGCTGTTAAGATGGCCAGGATTTCTGGGAGTTGAAGTCCAAAATAACCAGAGAACTAAAGGTTGAGAACCATTGTTATAAAGCAACCATGACTGAAGCCATGGATGCTCCAAATAAATAGGAAAATTGGATTACTTTTTGGAGAACATGCATCAAAACTCAATTGCAGATCACCCTTCTCTACTGAACTTCTTTCCTCTTGTAAGAGATGGAAATTTACCAGGTTATTCCCTCCCAACTACTACCTATCTAAAGGGTAGCCACTTCTGAGGGCTAAATTTGGTTGTTCCAACTGGAGCAGAACCACAGACATGCTCACTCTTTTATATCCCCAATTGCATCGATGACACAGTGTTTTGTTGAGCTGCTAGCACAAATATCCCAAGAAGCATCCATTTCAGCCAGTGAAGTGAATATATAATATTTTATTGAACATTCAAACTTCATTAAGACATGTGCAATATGGCAATTTTAATGGGTTTAACCCTAACTAAGACAACAGTACTGATTTGCTTGCTGGGGTTTAGCAATAGGGCCCAGATCACACTTAACACTAATTAATTAAATACTTTATTCAATAAATACATATCAAACAAAAATGCATTTCAATGCTCTTATAAAAGTTTAGTAATTTTGAAAGGCCTTTCCAAATTAGTCTAATATATATATATAACTGTAACATATAATAAAGGTAGGTACGCCAGTTTAACATAATTGGCCGATTTTATACAGCACTTATACCTCTTAGTCCATAAGTAAATTATTAAATGAAAAAGAACATCTAGCACTACTAACACTTCTACAGAACTAGGAAATAAATGTCTAATAAAGAAAAAATGTACAGACCCCATGACTTTCCACCCAACCCCAACAGTCTACACCCTAAAGGGGAGAAAGCCAAAGGCTCTCTCCACAAAAGCTCACGACGAAATGTCGCTTCGCTTATCAAAAATCTGTATTTCTGATCCGTAATGAGCATTGAGACAAGATTCAATGTATCCCCCAAGAAAGAAGCACAATGCGCGTTGTGGATCGCCTAGTCAGCAACAGCGAGCACTGCATCCCAAAAACATCTCATCCCAGGGGTTAAATGAGGTCAGCCACATTCATGGGCATCTCCTCCACTGTAGTATTGTAGAAAGTCTCAATATCCCGAAGGATCCTCTTGTCCTCCTCAGTCACAAAGTTTATAGCCACACCCTTCCTGCCAAAACGACCACCTCGGCCAATCCTGCACAGAACAGAGAAGGAAGGTGGGGAAGAATCCGCTTTAGAGAGGGAAGGCCTGGTCTTGGGAGCAGAAATGATTACCACTTACTGCATTAAGGCTAACTGGGCTAAATGCCTATGCAAAGATTTCATTTGCCAGCTTTAAAATACAGACAAGATGTTCCCAATAACTAAAACAATGTTGTATAGGCAGTCCCCGAGTTATAGACATCCATCTTACATACAACTCGTTACAAATGGGAGACAAGAAAAAGTGAGATAAATCTACCACATGGGAAAAAAAGGTGTCTTCAACTGAGGTTTTATCACCAATCCTTGTTTCCACAAGCCAAATTTATTAAAATTCAATTATTACAGGGATTGAAAGTGAGGTGAAATCTTCTGAACAGGGAAACAGACAGCAAAAGGCCACAGGAGTGCTAACCCTTCCATATGCTTTCAAATACTTATATGTGTGTGTGTGTATACATACATACACATACACACACACATATACACACACAAGCCATCCCCTGCCATGCACCGCTGTGGCCCAGTCTATGTATATGTGTTTTGTGTGTATATATTTGTATATATGTTTATATATGTGGTTCTGTTCATGAGTTGTAATGTTTTCTTATTTTTTTTTTGCTTTTAAAGTCTCTTCTGCTGTGTTTTTCAGGGTTTTTATGAGTGATGGTCACTCGTTGGCCTCATAGGTGTACTGTGTCCAAATTTGGTGTCAATTTGTCCACTGGTTTTTGAGTTATGTTAATCCCACAAACGAACATTGCATTTTTATTTATATAGAAGATTTCTTTGGCTGGAGTTACACTTACAAAATGTGTATCTGTTCTGGCTTATATACAAGCCTTATCTGTAACCTGGGGACTACCTGAACTTTGATGATACAGACAAGTAACCATGACTCTTAGCTTGCCTTGACACTAGAGAAGAAACCATCCATTCCCCTCCCCCCCCCAAAAAAATCCACCCTACCCACATTCAGTTTTCTGGAGTTCAAAAGCACAAATCCTCATCTCACACCATCCGCTTGGAACATGGACAGAGCTTGATGTCAGCCTGCAAACTACTGAACTTGTTTTACTATACAGACTACTCCAAATCCAAGCCCATAGAGGGAAAACCAAACATTTACTTTTCAGAGACGTAAGATTGTTGTCAGTGGGAAAACTTTAAAAATATTTTTGGCGAAACCGGACAACCAAATTGTATGGACTAATTGAACGGGCACACAGAGTTGACAATCCCGTAACGTCTGCCACCACCTGGCCAAAGAGTCTTCAAGAAAGACAAACATAGCTCACAACAATTATTACAGAAGATAAAGATATATATATATAAATACCAACTCGCTCTTTATGCAAACAGTGTGCCGCTTACGAATCCAGGTCCTAAATTACGCCGTCGTTTCTGAACATCATCTCTTCATCAACTGGGCTAGCGACTCCTGTATTTTTTTACATCAAGTAACAAGGTACAATTTACTTCATTTGGGGGTGAAAAAATCCACTATTATAGATAAAAGCTTAGGGGAAGATAAATTGAAAGTTCAGCTAGGAGACACCAGAGAAAGAATCCCACTGTAAGAGGAATCAAAGAGCAGCAAGTGAAGGAATATCCAAGAAAGCAAAAGTAATCAAGCTGAGAGGCAAATAATTTTAATCTAGAATGGAAAACTAATAGCAGCAAATCTCCAAAAATAATCCTTTACTAATCACAATATGCACAATATAAAATTTTGGAAGAATCTTTGCAAATCTGGCAACACATGCCACAGAACATTAGTTCAGCAGCTCCTAAAGGCTGTCTTGGTGGCCAATCATTGATAAACTCCTCATACAACGAAGTTTTCCCACTGGTCCGTTTCACTGGCTTCTCAAAAAGCTCTGCCCCTCCCATCCTCACTTTGCATATTCCACATACATACAAGTTAGTACACTGCAAGAAAAGGAAGGCAAGTAGGAGGGCGTGCAGATCCCGAAGAAACTTCAGAATGGAAAACCAAGTGAGTGAAAGTGCAACTTACCTGTGAATATAGTTTTCACGATTGGTTGGCAAGTCGTAATTTATAACTAGTGATACTTGCTGCACATCAATGCCGCGAGCCTGTAAGCAAAGGCAGTGTGTATTAATAAACAAAGAACTTTACTCTGGCAAGACTTACATTTTGTTGGCCATGTTATAGTAATGAACTACAATTAAGTGTGAGTCCACAGTGGAGCATGGTCTTTGTTCTTCCAAGAGCTTCAACAAGGCCAGGTTACAACAACCTTCACCCAACAGAATAGCTTTGGACATATACGTGAAAGGTAGCCTACGGAACTACATACCAACAAGTCCGTAGTGATCAGGACACGGCTTGATCCTGATCTAAACTCTCTCATGATAACATCTCGCTCCTTCTGATCCATGTCACCATGCTGTATGGACAAAAAAGTGCATTGACTGATTCAGTAACTGTTCAGAACCTTTCTCCCCAAGTTAAGGCATGTTAAGAAACAACAGTGATATAGGTCTTAGTTGAAAACACCAACACTATAGTAATACAAAACAGCAGAAAATCTTGCTTTCTGATTCTTCTGTTATTAAAATGCAGTTTCCAGCATTCCTCACTGCTAGCTAGACTACTGGAAGAATTCCTACTTCTACTGTGAACTGGACGAAAGTGAAAAAAAGGATTATTTTAAAAAGACATGGGGAGGGGATGGAGGGAGAAGAATAAAGCTAATGTTGCCTGGGCAAGAAGAGCCCAGGCTGGCGCTTTCTCTTGAAAGAAGTTTTCTATTCTCACTCTCCTTAAGCAAGAAGAGCTATAACTCTTTCATAGTGACTCTGCTAACTAAGCAGACCTTTATTTTTACTCCCTTAAAGTTTTATTGAACTAATCTTTTTTCTTTTTTGTCGTCATGTCAGGAGCGACTTGAGAAACTTCAAGTCGCTTCTGGTGTGAGAGAACTGGCCCTCTGCAAGGACGCTGGCCAGGGGACACCCAGATGTTTTATCATCCTTGTGGCAGGCTTCTCTCATGTCCCCATGAGGAGCTGCAGCTGATAGAGGGAGCTCATCCGCGCTCTCCCTGGATTCAAACCTGCAACCTGTTGGTCTTCAGTCCTGCCAGTATAGGGGTTTAACTCACTGTGCCACTGGGGGCTCCTATTTTAGTACATTATCAGCAAATGCTGTGGCCTAGAAAATGCACTTTAGAGAGGTCTGGAGAACAGAGTTGAATGACTAGATGGCACTCCATTTGAACAACAAAAAACCACAGGACTAAGCTTCCAGCCAACTCTAAAGCCCACTCTATTATTTTTGAAGAAAATGGGGGGAGGGGGGGAATCACAATTTTGAATTACTTTGCTTTTCTGTTTCAATTTTGCACAAGAGGTTGAAAATAATGAATGCAGTTTCAATGCAATTTTAAAATTGATTGTGGAGGGAATTCAATGAATCAGAGCTGAAAAAAGACCACAAGGAACAGCCAGTCCAAACTTTTGCTATGCATGAACACACCATTAAAGTTCTCCTGACAGATGCCCATGCAGCCATTAATAAATTTAGTATCACTAATAAGTCAAGTAAAACTTAGGGTTTTAAAAGGAACACCAACATGTTACTATTTTCAACACTGCCTTTAAACTAATGTAATGTATTTTAAGTATCAAGCCCTACCAGAGCCGAGACCGTGAAGTCCCTTGCATGCATTTTCTCTGTCAGCCAATCTACTTTCCTCCTTGTGTTGAGGAAAATCACAGCCTGAGTAATGGTCAAGGTTTCATACAAATCGCAGAGAGTATCCAACTTCCATTCCTGTGAAGTGAAGACACTTGCCATGAGCAGATAAAGAAAACAATATGTAGTAATTTATGAAGCCCCCAACAGACAACTATGACTAGTATTGACAAAGGCTTTCATGGCTGGAATCACTGGGTTGTTGTAGGTTTTTTCAGGCTTACATGGCCATGTTCTAGAGGCATTCTCTCCTGACGTTTCACCTGCATCTATGGCAAGCATCCTCAGAGATTTTGAGGTCTGTTGGAACTAGGAAAATTGGGTTTATATATCTGTCTTATACCCTGGTCATTCCAGATATATAAACCCAATTTTCCTAGTTCCAATAGACCTCACTACCTCTGAGGATGCTTGCCATAGATGCAGGCAAAACGCCAGGAGAGAATGCCTCTAGAACATGGCCATATAGCCTGAAAAAACCTACAACACCCAAGTATGACTAGGTTATCAGTGGAACTGAAACTAATCTAAAGCCAAACTTTCAGATAGTATAGTGTTGCACCAAGTCTCCAGACCAGGACACTGAACATTAAGAAAGAGGTCCACCCTAGTCTTTTACCGATCCAGTGCGTTTACTTTTCTTCTTGTGTGTACCATACTAGCATTACTACAGAGGAAGAGGTAGAACCCCAACTTCTGTAGTTTTAGCACAGTGCTTGTACAAGAAGGGTTGCCCAGCTTACTCCGGTGGCCCTTTCTTACCTCTCTCTCTACATTAATGTAGAACTGCTTGATCCCCTCAAGAGTCAACTCCTCTTTCTTCACCAGAATGCGAATGGGGTCTCGCATGAACTTTTTGGTCACTTCCAACACATCCATGGGCATAGTGGCAGACAGCAACACAACCTGGAACAAGATGCTCTGGTTAAGAGATGTAGCCTGAAGATGCTCAGACCCTGGTCATCAATAAGGTAATGTATGAAACCAAGCGTCCCTGTCTGCCGTGGAGTCGAAACAGACAAGGATAGTAAAGAAACATTTTTTGCTTTGTGCAGGGGGAACGACAATACAGCACTTCACGGCTACATTGTAACTTTACCTGCATCACTAGAGACTGTACCATCTTGGCATCAAGTTTTTACTTTACCTGAATGTTTGTGCTCAACTTCTGAAAAATTTCATAGATTTGATCCTTAAACCCTCGGCTCAACATCTCATCTGCCTCATCCAGGACAAACATTTTGATCCATTTAGGCGCTACAAGAAAGGGAAATGTATTTTGTAGGCCAAGAACTCTTCTCAGAAAGTCTTAATTTCTTGAGCAACAGCTAAACTGCGAGTTAATTGATCTTGCAGACTTTTATATGCAATACTATTCTTGAGGTGCTACTTATTCTAATACTGATTGATACTGTTCAAACTTGTTCCCAAGGATTATGGTAAATAGTTAGAACTTGGTTACTTACACAGGTAGCGCCTATTCAACATGTCAAATACACGTCCTGGAGTCCCCACCACGATGTGTGGTGCCTCTGCCTGCAGCTTCTGCATCTCATTGCGAACATTTGTGCCACCAATGCAAGCATGGCAAGTTGCGCCCATATAATCACCAAGAGCCAGAATAACCTTTTGGATCTGAAACAATGGATTGAATTAAAATTGTATCAATGGAACTCTCAAAGCAATTTGGTCAAAAACAGGTTTCTAGTGACAAGTAAACTCAACTCCAATGACTTATGTTCAGGCTGCTAAGTAGTTCCCAACTACAAATGCAATCTGAGTAGTAAACCTATCACATCTGATGTGCAAAGTGCCCTCAGATTCAAATATTTTCCCATTCCAGGCAGATATCCTGGTTCTTTCCCCACACAATAATGACTTTTCACAGAAATGCACAACAGCATTCCCAGCAAAGCAGTAGCAATGCTCCGACTGCTACAAAAGAAAAAATAATGGCTATTGACTATTAAACATGCAAAGCGGTGAAATGTTTTTAGAAGTTGCTTGGGCAGAATATGCCTTTAAAAGTAAAAAAAAAAACATACCTATTGGCCCTATCCTTGTTGCATAACAAAACAGCCTGCAGTGTAGAATAAGAACTGGAAATGACCAGCGAGATATGTTTATTTCCTCAGAGGAGGTACTGCAATGCTGAGTTTGAAACACATGGATCATTTGGACACATTTCTATGCTGAAAGCTTACACACACTGACACTCAAGGATAAATCTTATTTTCAGTGTGCTACTTTATGAGGAAAGAACTATACAAACTTCATTCTAAAAATCAACTTGGGTCATCCTCATTTAATTACTTGCCTCCTAAGAAAATGTATTACATTTTAGTACCAATTGAGAATTCCAAATATGAACTCCCCCGAGAACTGTTAAGGTGACTTATGCTTCTATCACAATATTCAACGCTGTATTCACAAGAATGCATATTTTAATGAAAATGTGCTGTATGCAAAAATGCTGCTCAATACAGAAGAGACTGAAGCACACATAAGATTACATACACAGACAGCACAGACAAGTCAACTGATCACATGCAGTTTCATGTTGCACAACTGCATGCATTTTGAAGACCTGAACAGTATATGTTTTCTCAATTTAAATCGTTTTAGTCTCATTACATATTCTGGATATCCCTACTATCAAGTCCTGCAAAGCTGCGCTGTCTTTTGAAGCCAGAATTGCTGGCCCATTCATCATCACAGCTAACACTTCTCCATGTATGTAATAGAGGAATGTAGTGTGGCAGAGGTATGTTCACCATATTTGCACCCCAGAGCTAAGCCATTAACTGATCTGCCAAAAATGTGAGTTCTCCTACGGTTGTGAAACCTGAAACCCATGCAACATGTAAGCAGCTGTTTAACTACACTATCAATACCTGTTGTGCCAGTTCTCTGGTAGGAGCCAACACTAGTGCTTGGGTCTCCTTGAGATCAATCTCCAACTGTTGCAGGATGGAAATAGCAAATGTGGCTGTCTTGCCAGTACCTGACTGAGCTTGAGCAATCACATCATACCCTAAAAAAAGGATAGATATTTACTGCTCCCATACAACATTAGGACACAGTTTAAGTTCCAATTCCTTTACAAGTGATCAGCAGTTACACAGTTTTCTCCATTTCAGGTCAGTCCCGAAAGATGGTATACCATCATCTCACTTTTCAAGGAAATATGGGCTTTACTTCCACCCCAATGTAAAGAACTCAAACCAGTAATAATGGTGCCAATACTCATTATTTGCTGCGATATTTGCCTACCTTTGATACATGGAATAATAGCACGCTGCTGGATAGCTGACGGCTTCTCAAAACCATAAGCATAAATTCCCCTGAGAAGGGACTCTTTTAAATTCATATCATCAAAATTGTCAACGATTTCATTCCAATTGCTCTGCAAGGAGGAAATGAAATACATTTTATTTTACTCATCAACATCTTCCATACAGATAAGTGAAAGAAGGGTCATTTACTAACCTCAATGACGCCATCGGGGTCCATTCCCTCAGGGCCATGGTCTCTGTCAAAGAAATAAAATCTTGTCAGCCAGGCAGAGTTCTCAACCTCTTGCAGTAGTGACTTATTCTAACTGCAATACCAAACTAAACACTCCGAACTAGTGCCCTATACCATTAAATACATTTAAAAATCCAGAAATAATGTACTTCTATATTTCTACAAAATAGCAAAACCCAATCTGATTGCTCTTCTATTGCCTTCACTATTCCCAGTGAGCTCAGGGTTACTATGCACGTTTCTGGATGAGCACTTGACAACATGGAGACTTGACTCTTTTAACATTATCCTGCAATTAAAAAAAACATCTTTTCCAGATGAAACCCGGTCTCTTAATGGCCACACAAAGAATCGACTGCCTTCTAGTTGGTCTAATAAAGGCTTCTGAAATTCTGATACAACCTAAATGGAAATTTGCCGCAACTTTAAGCACAATTACAATGTGGTCTTTGGAAAGCTATCACTTAGCATTCCACGAGTGATATGGGTAACTCAATATCAATCATATCTTTCATAGACTCCTGCAGAAAATGGCCAGTCTTTCCTTTGCACTCAAATGTTTTGGACTTCATCTCCCAGAATTCATGACTGGGCCAGGGCTTCTGGAAAACAGGCAGCCGAGAGCGAACATGACAGCCACTGTTTATATATTTGAAAAGATGACACATTGAGAAGGGCAGGCTTGTTTTCCTCACAGCGGAGACTAGGGCCCCTTCCACACAGCTGAATAAAATCCCACATTTTCTGCTCTGAACTGGGATATATGGCGGTGTTGTGGTCTCGGTGTTTAAAACCTCCAGAACAGGGGACTCCAGCACACAGCTGTTACCTTCAGGAAACTCTCCACAATGCTTAAGTGGAATCTCTTTTCTTGTAATTTGAATCCTTTGCTCTGTGGCTTTGGGTCCTTCCACACAGCCATATAACCCAGAATATTAAAGCAGATAATCCACAATATATGTTTTGAACTGGTTTATGAGTTCACACTGTCTTATAAACCAGTACAAAGCCGATAATGTTGTATTTTGTACAGCTGTGTGGAAGAGGCCTCAGTTCAACACAAATATTCTGGGTTCTATGGTTGTGTGGAAGGGCCCTAAGCCACAGAGCAATGGATTCAAATTGCAAGGAAAGAGATTCCACTTAAGCATTACAGAGAATTTCTTGAAGGTAAGAGCTGTTGGCATGAGGTGTTGTCACCTGCGCTGGAGGTTTTAAACAACACCTGGATGGACATCAGCCAATAGTGCTTGGATGTTGAATTTCTGCATGGCAAGAGACTGGAATGGAAGGCCCACATCATCTCTTCTAACCCTTATCACACTATGATTCTGTAGCTTCAGTCTGGACTTTGAATTAGATGTTTGAGGCACTGAATTTAATAGAATTTCACAGCCCTGCTGCTATCCATTCAAGGGCACTAGACCAGGGGTCCTCAAACTAAGGCCAGGGGGCCAGATACAGCCCTAGAAGGTCATAGACCCGGCCCTCACTCAGGGTCAACCTAAGTCTGAAATGACTTGAAAGCAAACAATCCTATCTCATCAGCCAAGGGCAGGCCCACACTCCTCACTGAAATACTAATAAGTTTATATTTGTTAAAATTGTTCTTAATTTTAATTTTTGTAGTTTCTAAGTGTTTTTTGCACTACAAATAAGATATGTCCAGTGTACATAGGAATTCATGTGTTGTGTTTTTTTTTTCAAATTATAATCCGGCCCGCCCTCCAACAGTTTGAGGGACTGTGACCTGGCCCTCAGTTTTAAAAGTTTGAGGACGCCTGCACTAGACAATGGTTCCCCTTTTCATCAGCCCAGACGACTTGGTGAAGAACACACGTCTTGCAAATGCTTGCATTACAGGGAGCAGCTTGTGATCTTATTTATTTATAGTGCTGCTTTTCTGTCTTAAGAAAAGACTCAGGAGCAGCAAACAGTACTGAAATCAACCTAAAGACTAAAGTAGAATTCAACCAAGCACTATTTAGAACAGGTGGGGGGGGCTCCGAGCGTTAAGCACATTCCGCAATGGCGGTTGTGAATACGGGAAGGGGGGAGCGGCACACTGAGGGCGGGAATATAATTCATAGTTGCGTTTGGTGGAAGGATAGAAAGGAGGGGAGGGTTAGGGTAAGGTTTAGGGTAGGGTAAGATAAGATTTCGGGTTACAATTAAGGATTAGGGCTTTGCCATTAAAGAACACTTTCATTTCTTTTATAATATGTGTCCAGTTCTGCGTTGTACAAACAGCACTTCCGAAGGAGCAAAGCGAAAACAGTGTAACGCCCAGAGCTTCCGGACCCAGCTTTCATACTATTACTGGCTTTCTCTCCAGGTGTTTTGGACTTTAACTCCCACAATTCCTAACAGCCTGCCGTCTGTTAGAAATTAGAATCAGAGTTGGAAGAGACCTCATGGGCCATCCAGTCCAACCCCCTGCCAAGAAGCAGGAATATTCCATTCGAAGCACCCCTTTGTGGGAATTGGAATCCAAAACACCTGAAGGGAAGGCCAAAGTTGGCCCACACCTGATTTAGACCAAACGTGTTGTACATATCCTTAGGTTCCATGAGAGGGAAAAGGCAGATTATAAATTAAGAGCTCCACAATGATCTGCCTGCCAAAGAAAACAACCCCCTGTATTTTCATTTAGCCCAGGAGGAACCTTTTGCAAAGGTAGGTAAGGCTTCTGGGAGATGAAGGAACAAAGCGCTGGGGTCCTGTTCTAGCAGCACTGCAAAAATGGATTTAAACCTGGAAGTAATTGATTTTTAGTTTTAAATTGCCTTTTATATGAATGTTATTACATGATTTAACCTGTTTTAAACAATATATTTATGTGTGTTCGACACCTAATTGTTGCCAGTCTGTACGCCGCCCTGAGTAGCCTTCGGGCTGAAAAGGACAGGATAAAATGAGTGGAACGGCGATTCGACAGACGAGACTGTTTTACTGTTTTAATGATTGTTTTATTGCTCATGGATGTATTTTTAATTTAATTTTTGTCTAATTGTAGTGTATAAACTGTCATCCATGCCAAGGTCACATCTAGGCTGGACTATTGCAACGCCCTGTATGTTGGCCTTCCTATGTCTATGACCCGAAAGCTTCGTATCATTCAGAATGCGGCAGCCAGGTTACTCACAAGAACGCCCATGAAATGCCATATAACACCAGTGCTGCAACATTTACATTGGCTTCCAACCGAGTACCGTGGCCTGTATAAGATGTTAGTTCTGACCTTTAAAATTCTTTATGGCCAGGGTCCACCATATCTTAGGGACCGCCTCTCCTTCTCCCGTCATCAGAGGTCGCAACGACCAGCCCAACGCAACTTACTCTATATACCGGGTCCTAGAGAAGTGCACTTGGAAAGTACCAAACGCAGGGCTTTTTCTATTTCTGCCCCTGCCTTGTGGAATTCCTTGCTGCCCTATATGAGAGCCATGCGTGACTTAGGGCTTTTTACTCTAGCACTTAAGACTTGGCTTTTTACTAGATCATTCGATCTCTGTTAATTTTTAATTTCTGTATGTATGTATTTTATCTTTTACAATTTAGCTGTAAATCGCCTAGAGCATTCTCGGATGGAGGGCGATTAATAAGTAATTAAATATGATGAGGAGGAGACTGCTCACAGGACAGCCATTTGCACACGTCATTGATACAATTCAATGTGGGTGATTCTGAAGGTGCCACCAGTAAGGAAGGCCTGCCTCTATCAGCCTCACTAATAAGGATAATTGTAGTAAAAGGCTACATATGTGCAAAAATCCCATGGCCACAGGGGATCCATTAGAATCATAGAATCAAAGAGTTGGAAGAGACCTCATGGGCCATCCGGTCCAACCCCCTGCCAAGAAGCAGAAATATTGCATTCAAATCACCCCTGACAGATGGCCATCCAGCCTCTGTTTAAAAGCTTCCAAAGAAGGAGCCTCCACCACACTCCGGGGTGTAACTACCTTACTTTCATTCCCATTCCCAGTATACCATAGATTTGCATTAGAAGTCCTAGCAATTTCTAATAAAGTATCCTTTAGAAATGTGATAGTTTTTTCAACACAACTCCATGGTTGCTTTCATGGGAGGTACACTGTAAAATCGCCTGAAGAACCTAGCACATCCTTAGAGAGAACACTCCCCTTGAGAAGTTACTTTTTAAGACTATATTTCCCACTGGGGTATTTTTATAACCCAAAAAAGTAAGTTTCCCAACTTTTGATTCTTTGCATATGACCCTGTGATCTCGGAGCCCCCACTGGCGCAGTGGGTTAAACCACTGAGCTGCTGAACTTGCTGACCGAAAGGTCGGTGGTTCGAATCCAGGAAGCAGGGTGAGCTCCTGCTATTAACTCAGCTTCTGCCAACCTAGCAGTTCAAAAATATGGAATTGTGCATAGATCAATAGGTACTGCTTCGGTGGGAAGGTAATGACACTCAATGCTGTCATGTCAGGGTGATTAATAAGTAGTTAAAGATGATGATGGTAATTGTTTATACTGGAATTGAATTTTTTGCTCTCTACATGGGGTTGCCTTTGAAGACAGCTCGGAAGCTCCAACTAGTCCAACGTGCGGCAGCCATGATACTAACAGGAGCGGAGCGCAGGGAGCATACAACTCCTTTGCTGCACCAGCTCCACTGGCTGCCGATTTGCTACCGGGCTCAATTCAAAGTGCTGGCGTTGGCCTTTAAAGCCCTAAACGGTTCTGGCCCAAGCTACCTATCCGAACATATCTCTGCTTATGAACCCACCAGGACTCTAAGAACTTCTGGGGAGGCCCTGCTCTCGATCCCGCCTGCATCACAGGCACGGCTGGCGGGGATGAGGGACAGGGCCTTTTCTGTGGTGGCCCCTCGGCTGTGGAACGCCCTTCCCACGGACATTAGATCAGCCCCTTCGTTAATGGTGTTTCGAAGAAAACTAAAAACCTGGCTGTTCGAACAGGCGTTCGGTTAAACAATGCAATGTACACGATGAATATAGGAAACGGAATTATGGAAGACGAATTGGATCACGATTCTAGTTACGAGACGTTAATGTGTTGTTATTGATGTGTCATTATTCTGTATATTATGTTGTGAATGGTTTTTAAATTCTGTATGTTGTTGGATTGACTTTTGCTCTTGTTGTGAACCGCGTTGAGTCGCCTACGGGCTGAGAAACTGCGGTATACAAGCAAAGTAAATAAATAAATAAATAAGTGTAAAGTTATTTTGTCCCCCTCGGGGTGAGAAAAGCAGTATACAATCACTGTAAATAAATAATAAACGTGTGGCAAATAAATAAATAAAATGGAAGAGATGGGGGAGAGGAAATCAAGAGGACTGAAAGGACGCATGCGCGCTGCGTCAGCGTGCCTGGCTCGTGCGTTCTCGGCCTTCTTTTCCTCCCCCCTCCCTTTTCCACCGAATTCTCGCGAGAGCTCCACCCCCTCCCTCCCTTGGTTGACTTGGTTGCGCAAGTCTCGGAGCCCCTCCCTGTTTCCTCTCCCTGCGCCAAAGTGGTCTCTTCCGATTAGGGCCTCCCCATATATACATACACACAAGGGCGAAACCACGCGGTCTGGAAAAGTAGGGGAATCGGGGACGTTGCAAACCTTCAAAGACACAGGTTCGGCTTCCCTGCCGTTCCCCCCCTACATAAAAAGTGGTATCTTCCAATTTGGGCCTCCCGAGACAAACACTCGCACTGCCCGCCTGGGAGAAACCATTTGGCCTGGGAAAGGAGGGGGGGTCGGAGCCCTGTTTTTGAAACAGCTCATCTTTATAATATATATATTATAAATAATATATATATATTATAAATATATATATTATAAAGTATATATCAATATAAGCAATGGCCTTCAATGCTTCCTTCCTCCCCTTTCCCGCCTCCTGCGATACCTGCTATAATCCGCGGAGCCGCCTGACATGTTCTGCTTCCCGCCGCTGTCCTCAACTGAAAAGGCAGAGTCTCCGCGCACGCCGCCTTTTATACCCGTTCCGTTGGCCGGAACTACTTTCCGCTCCCCCCTCCCTCCTTCGCCTTTCGCCGCGGAGGAGTATGGAAATTTACCATTCGGAGAGGGAGGGCGGGGGAGGCACGGAGCGCCCCAGAGGCGTGTCCCACCCACCCCTCGGCTTGGAAAGAGACCCCCTCCCCGTGAAAGAAACGTCACAGAGCTTTATCCAAATCAGGGGAAGGAGCCAGGCTTGAGGGACTACTTTATGCTGCCACACGCGGAGGGATATTGCAGCAGTTGGTCTGCTGACTGACTCCGTTCTCTCCCCAGTCTCGTGAATGGGGTTTCCTCGCCCGCCCCTGCCTCGGTGAAGGAAGGCGATTGGTCCGGACGGGGAGTGGGCGGGGCGTAAGGAGAATCACAGCAGGGAGGGGGAGTTTTGGGAAAATGGCGCCTGTTGTTGCCTGAGGGGAGGTGGAAGGGGAGGGAAGGAAAAATAAGCGATTAGAAAGAATGGAGGCGGTTAAAAAGAAAAATAAATCAAGGAGGGGGCTTCTAAAAACAATATGGGGAAGTTAGAAGGGATTTGGGTTTCCAGAATTTATGAAATGAGGGGGAAAAGTGAGGAGGAAAAATGATCAAGGGTCTGGAGAATAAGRCCTATGAGGAGCGGCTTAAGGAGCTGGGCATGTTTAACCTGAAGAAGAGAAGGCTGAGAAGAGATATGATTTGGTAGGCTTGTCCACAGCTGCATGGTTTACAACTCATAGAACAAGCCCTATGAGGAGCAGCTTAAGGAGCTGGGCATGTTTAACCTGAAGAAGAGAAGGCTGAGAAGAGATATGATTTGGTAGGCTTGTCCACAGCTGCATGGTATACAACTCATAGAACAAGCCCTATGAGGAGCAGCTTAAGGAGCTGGGCATGTTTAACCTGAAGAAGAGAAGGCTGAGAAGAGATATGATTTGGTAGACTTGTCCACAGCTGCATGGTATGCAACTCATAGAACAAGCCCTATGAGGAGCGGCTTAAGGAGCTGGGCATGTTTAGCCTGAAGAAGAGAAGGCTGAGAGGAGATATGATAGCCATGTATAAACATGAGCCAACAATGTGATGTGGCGGCGAAAAAAGTCAATGGGATTTTGGCCTGCATCAATAGGAGCATAGTGTCAAGATCTAGGGAAGTAATGCTACCCCTCTATTCCGCTTAGGTTAGACCACACCTGGAATATTGTGTCCAATTCTGGGCACCACAATTGAAGAGAAATTTTGACAAGCTGGAATGTGTCCAGAGGAGGGCGACTAAAATGATCCAGGGTCTGGAGGACAAGCCCTATGAGGAGCGGCTTAAGGAGCTGGGCATGTTTAGCCTGAAGAAGAGAAGGATGAGAGGACATGTTTATTTATTTCTCATGTCAGGGCAGCCAGTCAATTATATTACATTTCTAACAGAACAAAGCAAACAAACAGAGAAAATACAAAATGTGTGAGTTTGGTAGTTGATTAAATGTCCTTTGACCAGTATCTGGCCACTTGGAGTGCCTCTGGTGTTGCTGCAAGAAGGTCCTCCATTGTGCATGTGGCAGGGCTCAGGTTGCATTGCAGCAGGTGGTCTGTAGTTTGCTCCTCGCTGCACTCGCATGTCGTGGATTCCACTTTGTAGCCCTGTTTCTTGAGGTTGGCTCTGCATCTCGTGGTGCCAGAGCGCAGTCTGTTCAGCGCCTTCCAAGTCGCCCAGTCCTCTGTGTGCCCAGGGGAGTCTCTCATTCGGTATCACCCACGGATTGAGGTTCTGGGTTTGAGCCTGCCACTTTTGGACTCTCGCTTGCTGAGGTGTTCCAGCGAGTGTCTCTGTAGATCTTAGAAAACTATTTCTTGATTTAAGTCGTTGACGTGCTGGCTGATACCCAAACAGGGGATGAGCTGGAGATGTCTCTGCCTTGATCCTTTCACTATTGGCTGCTACTTCCCGGCGGATGTCAGGTGGTGCAATACCGGCTAAGCAGTGTAATTTCTCCAGTGGTGTAGGGCACAGACACCCTGTGATAATGCGGCCTGTCTCATTAAGAGCCACATCCACTGTTTTAGTGTGGTGAGATGTGTTCCACACTGGGTGCATACTCAGCAGCAGAGTAGCATAGCGCAAGGGCAGATGTCTTCACTGTCTGGTTGTGATCCCCAGGTTGTGCCAGTCAGCTTTTGTACGATATTGTTTCTAGCACCCACTTTTTGCTTGATGTTCAGGCAGTGCTTCTTGTAGGTAAGAGCACGGTCCAGAGTGACTCCCAGGTATAGCGCTCTTTTTTTTTCTACTGGCGTTACTCTTTCTTCTAACTTTTACTATAACTTATACTTTAACTACTTTGTTACCTCTCTATTCTACCCTCACGGTCTGTCTAAATCATAACTTTCTATCACAATGATTGTTACTCTGCTTCTTTTTTATTCACTACTTTACTCTTTACTTTCCTACTTTTTACTTTTTTACTTTACTTTTTACTTTACTTCTTGTAGGTCCAGTGTGACTCCCAGGTATTTGGGTGTGCTGCAATGCTCCAGTGGGATTCCTTCCCAGGTGATCTTCAAGAGCTCGGGATGCTTCTCTGTTCTTGAGATGAAAGGCACATGTCTGTGTTTTAGATGGGTTGGGGATCAGCTGGTTTTCCCTGTAAGAGCACCTAGAGCTTCGGAAAGCTTCTGTTCTACCGTCTCAAAGCTCCCTGCTTGAGCAGTAATGGCACGATCATCAGCATAGATGAAACTCTCTTTCCCTTTTGGCAGTGGCTGGTCATTTGTGTAGATGTTGAACATGGATGGAGCAAGCACGCTCCCCTGAGGCAGGCCGTTCTTCTGTTTCCGCCATCTGCTTCTCTGGCCCTGGAACTCAACAAAAAAGCTCCTGCTTTGTAGCAGGTTTCCTATGAGGCGGGTGAGGTGGTAGTCCTTTGTGATATTATACATTTTTCTCAGGAGGAGGCGGTGGTTCACAGTATCATAGGCTGCTGACAGTTCTATGAAGACATCTCCTGTGATCTGCTGCCTTTCAAAGCCATCTTCTATGTGCTTAGTCAGGTTCAACACTTGTGATGTGCAACTTTTGCCTTTTCTGAAGCCAGCTTGCTGTATGTGAGAGGAAATCATAGGGAGGAGGGAGCAAGCTTGTTTTCTGCTTTCCTGGAGACTAGGACGTGGAACAATGGCTTCAAACTACAAAAAAGGAGATTCCACTGGCTGTCAGTTTGCTACCGGGCACAATTGAAAGTGCTGGCATTGGCCTATAAAGCCCTAAACGGTTCTGGCCTGACTTACCTGTCCGAACGCATCGCCTCCTATGAACCAACTAGGACATTAAGATCATCTGGGGAGGCCCTGCTCCCAGTCCTGCCTGCATCACAGGCGTGCCTGGCGGGAACGAGAGACAGGGCCTTCTCAGTGGTGGCCCCTCGGCTGTGGAATGCCCTTCCTATAGATATCAGATTGGCCCCATTCCTGTTGGTGTTTCAGAGGAAAGTGAAGACCTGACTGTTCGAACAAGCATTTGATTAAACAGTGTAATTGAACATAGGAATACGGAATAATGGATGATGAGACTGGATTCTGATTTTACTTTTGAGGTGCTAATGATTGTTATACGGATGTTCAATGATTTATGTTACAATTGTTTTTCGTGCCCTTTACTTGTCTCGTGATATTTTGTATTGATGTTGTTCACCGCTTTGAGTCGCCTGAGGGCTGAGAAAAGCGGTATATAAATAAAGTAAATAAATAAATAAATAAATTCCATCTGAACATGAGGAAGAACTTCCTGACTGTGAGAGCTGTTCAGCAGTGGAACTCTCTGCCCCGGAGTGTGGTGGAAGCTCCTTCTTTGGAAGCTTTTAAACAGGCTGGATGGCCATCTGTCAGGGGTGATTTGAATGCAATATTCCTGCTTCTTGGCAGGGGGTTGGACTGGATGGCCCATGAGGTCTCTTCCAACTCTATGATTCTATAAGTGAGAGAACATTCAAGGAGAGAAGAGTAGCTTTTCATTCTTCCTCTTTCTAACCTATTTTCCCAATGGAGGGGTTAGTATTGTGGCTGTTGTTTCCACAGGACTTTGTTTTGGGCATCCTCAGGCTGGCAGCACACATGTCTTCGTTGATGGTATTCATTCATCTTCCCTTTGGCCTTTGTCCACATAACCACTGTCCTGCAATCTCCAAATGCAGTGCTGTAGTACACCTATTTATTTACCCAGCCACCTATTGTATCAATCCATCTTCTTTCTAAGTTATTTTCCCATGGAGAGGTTAGCATTGTGACTCATTTGTTTCCACGGGGCTTTGTTTTGGGCTTCTTCAGGTCTCAGCTTGGCAGCATGCACATCTTCATTGATGGTGTGCATCTTTCCTTTGGCCACATGGTCGCCATCTTTCAATTTCCAAATGCAGTGCGGTGTTGTTGTTGTTCATTCGTTCAGTCGCTTCCAACTCTTCATAACCTCATGGACCAGCCCACGCCAGAGCTCCCTGTCAGCCGTCACCACCCTAGCTCCCTCAAGTTCAAGCCAGTCACTTCAAGGATGCCATCCATCCATCTTGCCCTTGGTGGGCCCCTCTTCCTTTTTCCTTCCATTTTACCCAGCATAATTGTCTTCTCTAAGCTTTCCTGTCTTCTCATGATGTGCCCAAAGTAAGTACTTCATCTTTGCCTCTACTATCCTTCTCTCCAATCAGAAGTCAGGCTTTATTTCCTGAAGTATGGACTGGTTGGATCTTCTCGCAGTCCAAGGCACTCTCAGAACTTTCCTCCAACACCACAATTCAAAAGCATCTATCTTCCTTTGCTCAGCCTTCCCTATGGTCCAGCTCTCACATCCGTAGGTGACTATGGGGGATACCATTGCTTTAACTATGCGGATCTTCGTTGCCAGTATGATGTCACTACTCTTCACTATTTTATCGAGATTGGTCATTGCTCTCCTCCCAAGAAGTAAGTGTCTCCTGATTTCCTGGCTGTAGTCTGCATCTACAGTAATCTTTGCACCTAGAAATACAAAGTC